AGTCAACAGCTTAAACCAGTTAAGTTCGCAGGTTCAGCGTACTGATACAAACAAAAGCAAGTTTGGAAACAAGCTTTTCCTGTAAATGCCCAAAGGCTCAAGCTGTTTACCTTTCCTGCTAATTTCAGCTACTTATTTATAGGTCAGAGCCAGGTCAGAGCCGGGTCAGACCTTCAGAGCGGCATCTGTTAAGCAGACGCATAAACCAGTTAGCAATTTGAGCGGCTCTGTAAGGTTACCTTTCACCTACAACATCATTTTGTTTTTTTTTTCGCATCTTCACATAACCGCAGGCTAGAAATTGAAATTGTTGCTTTTTGCTTTTCTAGGGTGTGCTGTTGTTTATTTTGATAGCTATTTCTGGTACTTTGCGCCAGCTGGTACGCACTCAGGTGTTGGCGCTATCTCAGTTGGTGGCGTGAAGAGCTTATAAAAAAAATATATATTTTGTAGTTTTACTGTTTTTACTGTCTTTTGGAAACTGGTTTGTAATCATGTACCAAGAATTTGAGGTGTGAAATTTGCATAAGCTGCAAAATAAATTAATTTGGCTAATGGCACACATTAGCCAACATCTTTTATTCAACATATAGCTGCTAATAATTAATCATCTGGAACATTGGCAGACATTCTGTTAGCCAAACAATTCGTATTTTTGGAATTTCGTATCACATGCAAGCGCTTGCACAATCCGAATACCAATTGTTAATGCAAATGCCGTAAGCCACAAACGGAACCGCAGAATTCTGGCCATAAAAGAAACCTTGAAATCGTGTGCTTTAGCCAAAACGTGAACGGGAAACGGCGCACAGACGAACCCTTTTAGCTTATATATAATTGCGATTTACATAATTATTGATTAAATTGTGTATACAGTTTCCAATTAGTTTAACAGATTTAACGCTTTATTTGCACTTAATATGCCGTTACATTGAAAATTTGACGCTATATTGTATTTTGTGCGATTCACTTTAGGCCAACAACATTGCGCGTCGCGCGGTCAAAACAAACTGAAATCTAAAATGAAACAGGCCCGAAGCTCAGCTCAGCTCAACTCAGCTCAGGTCGTCACTTACAGCAAAAGCAAAATAGCAATAAAAAAAACAACAACAACAATATAAAAACAAATACACATGTTTGCTGCAAACGCAGCTTACAAAACAAACCCTCGGCTCTCTCTCTCTCTCTCTCTCTCTCTCTCTCTCTCTCTCTCTCTCCACAGTCGCCACAACCGACCCTGCTGCCGACAGAGTTGATTGCGTCGCTTTAATTGTAAATAGCTTGAAAAATTCAAAAAGTTTGTTTTAAATAGGTGTCCCATATAATACTGGGTATTCCAAATATTTTTATTATTTTTTATTATTTGATTGAAACTTCGCTTAAAAATATTAATTTTAAGTAAATTATTGTCATAAGACTATAACCAAAAAATACAGTGTTTTTTTAATCCGATTACTAAAAAAGAAACTTGGTCACTCTAATAATGTAAGCGAATCCAACCTAAACACGGACTATTTTGGCTTTAGAAAACGACGCAGTGCGAAAAAAGTGGGGAGTATTTTGAATAGCAATTCCGCCTCTATTAATCTAACTCGATTAAATTTGATCAAAATCTTAACGAATGTAGAGAAGGCGATTATATTTAAATACACATGCATATTTACATACAAACATACATACATATAAAAGCTAAACGTAAGCTTCGTAACCAATCTTGCTTTAAGCCTTTGAAATGATTTGCACTTTGTTTTTTATGCCAAGTTATACAAACATACACACATATGTATATATGGAATTGAAATCTATAAAAAACATAATACATAGGTATGAAATGTCAGCACGGTTCGTTCTATTTACCGGTGCAAGCGAACAGAAACCGGTATCTAACGTTATCCTATTTATACTTTGTATCGAAAATAAAATCAATCAAAGCTGCGCTTACAGTACACACACTTACACTTTCACACACGTACATACATACATACATACGTAGCATGCACACAACTGGTATTGTCGTTTAACAAAGCATTGCAATTTTTTTTCTAGCGACAGAGCACGGACAGCGCCCGTTAGAACGACAGAGCACATAATGCGACCAGGCTGACGGAGACTTAGCGAGAATTTACACATTGGCAATTAACTGCAAATAAAACGGCATTTTGAGAATTAAATTGAGTAAGTGAATGCGAGAAATGGAAACAGGTTTTAATAAAAATAACCAAAAAATCGCCAAATTAAAATCGAAAACGGTACGCTTTGAACCTAAACTAAACTGAAATAGAAAATAATAACAATGCCAACATTCCGGTCCATACACATTGTTTACGGTGTCTGAAGCGCACCTGGACTAACACATTTGTTCAAGTAGTTATAGTAATTAAACAATTCGCTTTACACCTATTACGCTAATATGAAAACATATATAAACTTAGCTGCAAAGTGTTTGGTGTTAAAAATCAATTATCGCTCATAAAGTTAATTGTTTCAAAGCGGATTTGACTGTGTCGAAAAGCAGACGCAAAGTGCTGAAGCCAGGTTCAGAAGCTCTGTTACATCAAAAATTGGGCACAATCTAATTGTGATTGGGCATCGCGTTGCGTTTCCAATAAGAAAAAATTGATTGAGACGATTTTGTTGCAGGCCAGGTGCTTAATGATTTGTCGTGTTCATTTCTCTTGGCTGCAACTCAAACACACACACACACACACACATACACAATACACTTGCATTTCCGTTACAACATTTCGGATCGCTGTCAATTTCCGAACTCGCATGCAAACGAAGGTCACAATAGACAACAACAATATTGTATAGAATCGTACGAACAATTTGAAATAAACGATTTTGGATGCTCCGCACACGTGATCATTGACAGTGATTTATGTTTGTTTTACACAAGTGACCAGTTGCTTTTTTTTTAATTGCCATGCACTGACAGCATTACTTCTCAAATGATAAATTCTCTCACCGAACAATTAACGGAAACTCGAAATTTAAATTTTTAAAGCATCAGTCGATTATATAAGCAACGCACACAGACACGCGCGTAATTTGATTTTGTGCGAGAGCGTAGTAAGTACTTAATTGGCAGCGAACATAATTTTGGAATGACTTTCAGTTTATAGTGGATGCCCTTACATATGTATGTATGTACATACAGACATTCGTACACGCATATTTACGTACATCATGGGCGTTTGACGACTTATGTTTCTGCGCAAGCGAGCCTCCGCCATTTTATTTTTTATTTCTAATAGCTCGGGGATTTATGTGTCCATTCGATGCTCTTGAACTCCGACGGCGCACTGATGAATCCTCAAACTTTTCTGCGCTTAAGCATTGTAAATTTCAAATACTGGCCAAAAAAGGGGTTTAAGCGACCCAATAAAGTTTTTGGTTAAGAAATTAGCTGCAAACTGTTAATTGCACAAGCCAATACAAACGCACATATGTACATGCCAGAAGCGGGTGTTTTGTGACGTGTTTGCCCACATTGCTTTATAGGTAAAGCAAAAGCAAATTAATAGGAATTAATTCAACAAATTTACATAAATGGAAAAATAAATACACTGTGCTCGAGATGCTTCTACATTTGCTGATAGCAACGTAGGCCTTTTGTATTTGGCGCCATTTGTATGAACACCCTGTGCTTGCATACACCAAAGCCCATTCACAATGGTTTTAGTATTTGAAGTGTGCACACACTGAACCAATTGGAAACGACAAATAAGTAATCGAATTTAAAAACGTTGAGTGTGTACACACTGTATATTGTGCCAATGGTAACACGATTTTTACCGCGTGTTTTATGCAACGTCCGTATACCTGTTAACGCTTTTGGTCAGGCTAATTACAAAAAGAATATGAGCTCTGCTAATGGAGAACCCAAGCCGGCTAAACGCCCCACGCCCCTAACTATAGGCACTCATAACGGAACGTTTCACTGTGACGAGGTTGTTGCCTGTTTTATGCTAAAACAATTGCCCGAATATGAGAATGCTGAAATATTTCGCAGTCGCGACGAAAAGGCATTGCGTGAGAAATGCGATATCATTGTAGATGTGGGCAGCATCTTTGACCACGAGAAGAAATGGTACGATCATCATCAGCTGACTTTTAAGGAAACCTTCAGCACGGTGCTCCCGGAGCTGGCCGACGAATTTGACATAAGGTTAGAAACATTAGTAATCCGATAAATTTTGAACCTATCCAACCTGTTTATTTGTAGACTGAGCAGCGCGGGCCTAATTTACTGCTTCTATGGCGAGCGTGTAATACAAAGTATTTTACAGCGCGAGAGAAATGTGCAATTATCCACGAAAAATTTAAAACTTGCATTTTTGCAAATTTATCGAAATTTTATCAGCGAACTGGATGCCATCGACAATGGCGTGCCCATGTTTGAGGGTGGCGAGCCACGCTATAAGATATCGACACATCTGTCGGCACGCATTAACAAATTGAATCCCTCGTGGCAGGAAACAGACGTTGATATCGACCAGCGCTTCTACACGGCCATGGCTGTAGCTGGCAAGGAATTTGTTGATAACGTGCTAGAAGTGGCATGCTCTTGGATTGCGGCGCGGGAATATGTTCGTCAGGCATTGGAGCAGGCCAAATCGGTGCATGCAAGCGGTGAAATACTTCTACTAGAAAGATTCTGTCCATGGAAAGTGCATTTGAGCGATTTGGAAAAGGAATATAGCGTGGAAGGTGTGCCCAAGTTGGTCATCTTTAATGAGGGTGCCAACTGGCGTGTCGCAGGCGTGCCTGTTACGCCTAGCAGTTTTCTTGGTCGCAAATTCCTGCCCTCACCTTGGCGGGGTCTTCACGATGAGGAGCTGTGCCAGAAGGCTGGGACTAACGATCTTATATTTGTGCATCACACAGGCTTCGTTGGTGGTGCCAAGACAAAAGAGGCTGCGCTGGCCATGGCACAGAAAAGCATAGAGTTTGTCAACGAGGACACGGCTTAAATCAATATACAATAAACTAGGTCATTTCCTTACAAATTTTATTTGCAATCATGTTTTACGAAAAAAAAAAATGCCTAATCCATGCGAGTCTTCAGCGTGCGCTCCGTTATCTTGTCCTTCTCGATAATGTAGACAGTGGCGCCCCAACCGCTCATGGCATCACGATCGAAAGCATTCACCATCGACTGAGCGATGACCTCGAACAGCTGATCCGGCTCCAAGTCCGGTCGCCATAGTGTCTCGCACATGCCATACAATTGCTCAGCACAGGTGCCAGCTACCACAAAGTCATCAGGCTCGTTGGGGCATCCAATAAGGTCCATGTTGCAGATGAAGGGCTTCATGGTCTTTGGATCCAGACCTGCCACCACCGGCTCGATGAAGTAGGGTCCAAAGCGATGCTCGTACAGGAAACTAGACAGCATAGCCGAAAATGGTTTGGGTGCCATCTCCCGATTCTCCTTTGTTTCGTATATGTTTTTGCGGAACATCAGACGATCGCGTACTGTCAATATGTCCGTCTGCAGGCCAGTCAGTCCGAGGAACATCCGCGGTGCAATGTGGAACACCTTTTTAAAGTCTGTGGAGATGGTTTGTGCCTGCACGCCAAAGCGATGATCCGTTGCAATAGCCACGCAGTCCTTACCACGCATTGCGACCACGCAACCTCCGTTATAGGCCAGAATAGACATTATTAGTTATATTTGACACTGTAATAAAGATGGGCGTAAATTAGATTCGCAAAATGCTAAACGCCGCTTCGAAGATGACTTTTTGTTTCTGGCCGTATGCTCAGCGCTGCCAGACTGCGTTCAAAAGAAATGTACTAAATAAAACTGCAAATTTATGGCCAGGCTGCCAGTACTTTTTGATGTGAAAGTGTTATCGAACTGACGTAGATAATTTACAAATAAATATACGAAATACTAAGGGGAGTCCAGCAAATAAATATGATGCATTAAAAACGAACCAATAAGCGTGATGTAGTTTTTAAATGTGTGTACAAACGCTGCTGGAAAATACTGCTAGTTAGATTAAATTTTGCATCAAAGCTTAAAAGAGCGCGGAATAATTACAACTAAAAACGGTGCAGCTGATTTAGTATCGATAGCTCTTACCAAAAACGCACGTCAAGGATTAAGTCAATCCGAATCTGATTGAATTCGTTTTCAAACACAAAATTAATGACATTCAAATAAATTTGATTTGCATGCGCTGTAGTTGTTGGAACTATTCTGAGCATATTAAACGAAATCGATAGACGCCTATCGACCGCTGTCAAAACTATCGAGTAGCAATAGCATACAGCAGCACGATGTCCTCCTAAAATTGTATAAAATTTTACATAAAAAACAACACTAAATGTTTGAAGTGGCGACTGTTGTGCACACGTTGTTCCATTGCTCGCGCCCAGTTTTACTGCAACCGAATCCCTATAAACAATAACAACAACAATCAGCAAGGGCGATAGGTAAGCCGACTGCAGCTTGCACAACAACAATATTAATTATTGGTGAAATATTGCAAGTGCAACAGCAAACAAATATTGTAAATACACACACAGATATTAGCCAGCAATCAAAATGGCCGAGGCAATGGTCGTGGAAGAGCGCCCCTCGGTACCGAAACGTTTTTTCTGTCACATGTGCAATGTGGAGATTAACATTCCGAATACCGATTACACTTGCCCACTCTGCTCAAACGGATTCGTTGAGGAGCTGCCAGCTAATGCGCCCGAATTGTCAGCTTCTACTAGCAGCACCAGCAGCAGCGCCACCAATAACGATACAGCCAATGCTGGCACCAGCTCCAGCAGTAATACCCTTGGCAGCGGCGCCGGTGGCAGCGGATTGATCAACGTTGAATCGCTGCGGAATGACATTGTATCGCTGCTCAGCATGCGGAATGTGCCCAATTTGGAAATAACGATTGAGCCGAATCGACGTCACGCCAGCGTAATGCACGTGGGTAATTCGGGCGGCGGCAATGTGTCAAGCGGTCCGTCAAGTGCAGCGTCCAGCATTGCTGGTGGTCGTGTGAGACCTGCCAATTTGGATCGCTTGGACAATGTACTGTATGATTTTCTGCAGAGCTTGCCATTGGCAGGCGCTACGGCCGAAATTGTAACCGGTCCAGGCGGTGGCAACAGCGGTGGCGGCACCGGTCATTCCCATATGTTCTTCATGGGCAATCCAGGTGATTATGCGTGGGGACGTGAGGGTCTCGATACGATCGTTACGCAGATGCTTAATCAAATGGAGACATCGGGGCCGCCGCCGTTGTCGTCGCAACGCATTAACGAAATACCAAATGTGAAAATCAGTGCCGAGGAAGTGGAACGCAAAATGCAATGCTCCGTTTGTTGGGATGATTTCAAGCTGGATGAATCGGTGCGCAAGCTGCCCTGCTCGCATCTGTACCATGAAAACTGTATTGTGCCATGGCTGAATCTGCACAGCACCTGTCCCATTTGCCGCAAGTCATTGGCCAACGATGATGACAACGACGACGCGGACATTGATGAGGATTATGTGCTTCTGAACAGCCTTGTCGATGAGAATGGCAGCGGTCGCAGCGGCGCCAATAGCAACAGCAACAGCAACGTTGCAAGAGCCGCAACATCCACAAATGCATCTAGTCAAACGGTGGCCTCCCAGCCGGAGCCAACAGCAGCAGCCTCACAACGCAACAACGTGTTCACCTTTGATGATGACAATATGTTTTTGGACTAATTCGTGAATGCATATTATGAATTAATCGGGACGATCGAATCTGGGAAGTGGATGGGATGGGATGGGATGCTAAACCTGATATTCAAAATTGAAGCCTATGCAGCTCAAGCGTTAGTACACAAAATCTAAACAGTTGCATATATTTATAAAAAAAAAAAAAAAAAAAAAAACAAAGAAAAAAAAGAATGTCTTAACAAAATCAATTACACACACGCTTTACTTTTGTTGTTATTCAAAGTACGGGCTGGTAAACAATATTTGCAAATTTGTTATCATTTCACATTTGGCTAATGCAATAAAATTTTGTAAGCGTAGTGAGGCGATTACCAATTTTTATAGGATGTTATACAAATTATGTATAAATAACTTCAATTATATTTATTGTACTAATAACATAAAAAAAAAAAAAAAAATGTTTCTGCGCTATATTCTAAAATACAACAGTTTTTATATACAAATAAACTGTAACTAGCTACTAGTTAAAAAACTAATATCTAAATCACCTCAAGCTAATTGTGAAGTTTATAAATCACAGCAAATTATTTAATAATAAAAACAATGCAAGAAATTTGTTATTCATTTTGCAGCTGCGCACTAAAATCAACAAATTCGAATCAAATTATAATTAGTCAGCTGTCAAGAAACGCAACAGGGTGGCAACGCCCAGCGCCGAATTTGTTTTGTTTGTGCATGTGTTTGTTGTTGCTGGACAAGGGCGCATTTTTTGAGCCAATTTGTTTAAACTAACAACTAATAGAATGCTCTAGCCAATCGGAGCGGATGCAATATAACACTATTAGAGCATGGCAACAGCAAGTGGCAGTAGCGAAATTGTTATACTCACAGAAGTGGTAAGACACAGAAAAGCGTATTCCTACTCGCAGGTACATATGTATATTTTGTTTTAAATAACAATTACGCAGGTGCGTGAACAATATGTACGCTATTTGGAGCGCCAGCTACAGGAGAACGTGTGCGTTTGGGCAGGAGCTTCCAGGAATCATCATAAGCCCACAGCCTGGGCATGCATTGCGCACAGCGTCAAGGCATTGGAGACACATGCAATTAAAGCCTGCCAGGCGGCACAACTGTATCAGCGTGCCATGGTCAAGATGGTAAACTGTTTTGAATAGGCCATGTGTTCCAAATTGTCTAAATACACTTCTTTTTAGATCGCCGCGGTGCGGCGCAACACACAGGAATGTCGCCTAGCGGATGCCCTTTTCAACCAAATGCAAATGCAGCAGCAGCAAATCGTCGAGGATACCGTGTCAGCGAACGCTCCAAAGGCGAATCCCAGCATCGCATATGCCCCATCGTGCAAGCAGCTAGTCGATAAGGCAACACAAACGACAAGCGTGCCGAATGATGAGCAGAACGACAATTATACAAGCTACACGCTGTCACAGAAAATCGATTTGTTTCAGTCACAGCTCGCAGAGCTGGAATGCAAAGACCAGCCGCCAGCTAAAGTCAATGGCAATGAGCGGCCCGCAACACCCATGTCCAGCACAGAAGATGAAGTAGCGCAGGAGCTGGCCAAGCTATTTGACGATGAACCAACCGATCTAAATGCCATATTTGGTCTTGAGATTGACACCACAGGGGCGACAGACCAGCTACAAAAGCCCCCTGCTGTAGCAGCTCAGCGGAAGGCCCTGCCATCGCCTGCCACGCCGTCGACTGTGCCGTATGACCAAAGCTTTACGGATCTAAGAAACAGTCCCTGGCCCTGCGAATTGTATGCACAACGGCGCCGCCTCAACGCATGCTTGGTGCGTCTGCTGGATGCAGACTGGCGCTGCGAGGATGCATTAAGATATAAATTCCATATGCTATTTGGCGAGGACAGTGACGATGAGTTTGCCACGCATATAACTAGTCCTAGCATCGATCTAGTCGATGAAGTTCTGCTGGCCAGCTGCATATTGCGCATACGTCCCTGGATTGTGCGGCATTTGATGCGTCCACTGCAGGAAGGCCTTATTGCCAATCGTTTTCTCTTCAAAAAGGTAGCCAAGATGCTTGCCAACAACATTGTGCTGATCAATCCATACGCCAGCGAACGGCAAGTTAGACAGGCCGTTGAGCACATGTTTTGCATCCAACCCAGAGGTGTTCAAAGCGCGCTTGATCTGGAATCGTTGCCGCCAGTGTTCGTCGAAAGATTTGAAAGTTAGGCAGAACGTTAAAACCATTTTCTAAAATTAAATTATGCTCAAAAATGGTTGTTTCAGACAATTCTACGCAGGCAAAATGTTTACTTTCAGTATAACATTCTTCCTATTACATGTACAAGTAATTAGTGTTCCTAGTTGAAGGTATTTTTGATTGTTTGGAACTTATGATAAGCAAAATATGTTTCAACATTAAAGCCATTAAATCTCACTAATATAGAGATAATTGAAAAACATTGGCAGATTATTTAAAAGTACACTTATTTCAACTGAAAAGTTCATTTCATTAGTGCTTTTTAGGTAAAAGAAAGAAGAAGAAAACGAAAGTCAATTTGTAGAACCGTAAGGCCTATAACCAAAGTTTTGCCATGATTATTAGAATTAAGATAAAGACTTGAAAATCAAAATTGTTGATTATCAATGGAACTTTTGAAAGCAGTTTGTATGTATATAACCGAATATCATAACGAATCAATCCGTTTTCTAAGATTCACATTTAGTTTAACTAAACCAAAATCACACTAATAAATATTTGTATCATTTTGTTTTTTAAATTATAATTAATTCAATGATTACAATAATTTTTCTTTCTGCACATCTCTGTTCAATTGTTTTTTTTATAATTATATAAATTTTAATATATTTAATAAACGATACATATAATATAGTGTTTGACGAAATTGCGGCTGCTGCTGCGACGGCGGCTGCGGCTACTTTTGTTGTTGTTGTTGTTACTCTTACGGCTGTGTATGTTGTTATTGTTGTTGCTGCTGTGTTGTTGATTGATGTGTTATTTTTGTTGTTGTTGTTGCTGTTGTGGTTGGCTATTGCGTTCCATTTGTTGTTTGCATATTGCTGTTGTTACTTAGTCTGCAGCAGCTACAACATGTGGTTGTTTTTGCTGTTATGTTGTTGTTGTTATGGTTAAGAGACACTACCTAGTATCGGGTATTTGATTTGTGTTTGCCGCCGCATTTGCATTTTGTTTGTATTTTTGTTGCTGCTGCTGCAGTTGCTGCTGTGAGCCCGTGGCAGTCTCTGCTGGCAGTGGCCGACCGCGTCTTTCGATGCCACCTCGATCAACTGCTGTTGGCCTGACGCCAGTTGCACTGGCTGCTGCTGCTGCTGCTGCTGCAATGCCACCGCCAGCACCTACGCCGCCTGTTCCTCCACCTCCTCCTACACATCCACCTGTTGTAGATGTGCCACTCGTTTGTGTTGTTGCTGTTGTGTTGGCTTTTTTGTTTTTGTAGCGATATTCATCGCATACAAAATCCTCCGGCGAGGTCTGTTGCATTTGATTCACCTGTCGTACCACAGCACGCTGCTGTTGCTGTTGCTGCTGCTGTTCATCCGCATTGTTATTGAGCAGCGTTTCCTGTTCTTCCTGCTGCTGCTGCTGCTGTTGTTGCTGCTGCTGCTGGCTGTCCCCGCCACCTTGCTCCTTATTTACATTATCACTCTTGGCCAAACAGTCGCCATCCTCATTGGACGCATTCAAGTCTAGCTCCTCTGTGCAGAGCAACGATAGCCACAGCGACTGCACAAACATGGAGCTGTCAAGCAAAATAAACATTGATAACTATACTTCAGACCGATATGTGCATATAGTTGTAACTCCTACCGATCGGCCCGCTTGCGCTCTACATCCGCCCACTCGGCATCCGTTAGTGTGGGCTGCATAAATTTGGCCAGCAAGTACTGCGATTGCGGTGTATCGCCAGCCGCAGCTTGCCCGCCAGATTGCCCAGACATGGCGTTAGTGTTGCCGCCGCCATTGGCCGTTGGTGCACCACCAATGCCGACGCTAATGCCCAGCGCATTGCCAGTGCCACTGCCGCTGCTAATGCAACTGTTGCCGACCGCCTGCAAGGATACAGATATGTTTTTATATTAGTATTGGTAATTGGGAATTGTTTATAAATTGCATGAGGCTACTTCTCTGGCGTTGAGTGTATTAGCGGCCAGGCTGCTCGACTGCGTTTGCTGATGGCTGCTGGCCGATGAGAAGCTTGCGCCCACCGGCCATTCTGAGGTGCGCAGATTGGGCGGTGCATTTGCACTACTGGCACTCATGCCACCGCTGCCAACTGCAGTGCTGCTGCCGCCGCCGCCGCCGCCGATCACCTCAGCCATGGTGGCATTCGAATTCGATGTTGAGACTATGGGATGCGTGCGTCTTGGCAGCCGATCGATTTGGCGCGATGCCTAAAATAACGAAAGCGTTAAATGCAAACATTCACAAGCTTTTTCTTTTCTGATATACACACAAGATCATAAAAACAACAACAAAACAAATACGCTGCTTACCGTCAACTGTTGCCGATCCATTTGCATTTGCATCTGCAATTGTTGCAACTGCGATGTTGGTGGAACGCCACGTCTGACGCCGGATAGCTGTGAGAGCAGCTCTGCGATGGGATCGACAGATTCCCGACCCGATGGCGACAATGCCGACAGTCCACTCGATGAGCTAAAGTGCATATTGGAGCGGCGCGTACGGGGCCCGCCCAAAGTGCGTCCAGGTATGCGACGCACCCCACCGCCATGGCGTATGGCCGAGGGCTCGTCGTATTGTCTAAAGGTTAAGGCAACCAAAACAAAATTAAATCCGTCTTAACTTATAATGCCTGATATATGCTATTAAGGAATTGCCCTGTTTGCATTTGAATGCTGACGACCTATTGCCAAGTTGTAATTTTGCCAAGATTTTGATGAGGAACAGTAATATATAGACTTTTCGAATAAATTATTAATCAAATGAATGGCTGCATATATTATACACTAAAGGTCCTTTGGGAAACTATTTACTCGAATTAAATGGAACTTTAGCTATTTTACCCGATTGTTTTACAAATTTACTAAAACGTGACGGAACACAAAGTTTTGGTTCGCGTGATACCATCTATAGACAAATATAATTTATCTGTGATAACTAATGCTATCTACATTCTTAACTTTTTCCTATTCTTAATACTTCGCTTCATTCAATACAATTATTTTTGGGGCAATTCGTTTGTTGATTCTTCAACACAAAAGTTTTTCGTGAATTATGTTGTTTTGTGAAAAAGGATATCAAAAAGGATATTAACTCTCGCGGTCCTTGCCGATGCTCCAATGTTAGATGACCAGCAAAATCATCTGTGACTAGATTCGGCTCACCGCCTGGCAATCCGGCACAAACGGGACAGACGACCTCCAAACTGGTCTCCGTATGCTCGGCGGAGACATGCTCCAACAGGGTGGCATCACTGAAGCCCATCTTCTTGCAATAAGGACACGTAAACGATTGCGGCTGATCCGTTGTTAGCATTTCGCCGCCAAAATATAATTCAATATCGGAACGGGTAAGTATGCACTGCATGGGATGCTCAACCAGATGGCGAGTGGAGGTGACGCCATCCTCATAGCAATCGGCGCACAGATCATAATCATAACAGATTAAACACTTGTAGCGACGTCCAGTGAAGTTACTTTTTAGACATGAATCGCAGCTCACACCTAATGCACACATGTACATAAATCAATATAATATATAATTGACGAATTGTGAATTGAATTGAATTCAGAGAGAAGGGCACTGTTACCTTCATGACGACTCATTATTTAGCAGCAGCAGAGCAGCGGTAGTGTCACCACCAGCAGCAGCAGCGGCGGCAGCAGCAGCAGCGACGTCTTCACGTCCACTCGATGGGCGCCGTTTCCTTTTGGGCGCACTCTACCGTTCTGCCAGTGATTTCGATTTGATTTTATTTCAATGAACTTTCGGATGAGCTTTCAGCACTTTTTCGTTTCTTTTCTTTTTCGCACTATGTTTTATGTTGGAGATTCCTATGTACATATGTGTAGAATGCAAAGGAGCTGCAAGGCGAAATGAACAGTAAAAAGGAGCTTGTCAGTCATCGAATGTAAACAGATGACAACAAAGGAAAAACGGCAAATTAAGTAACAAGGCTAACACGCACACGAGTCTATACATACACACACACACACACACATACACTCATTTATTCACAAACGCAGCCCGCCCTCACAGATGCAACGTTTTTTTATTCTTTTTGATTTTCTTTTCGCCTTTCTTTGCAAAGCTCACAGAAGACGATTACGGTTCTTTCTCTTTGGTGTTACCTTTCGCGTTTGTCGCCCGAAAATGAAATGAATAGAAACAAGCAAAAGGTATAAATTGCACACACTTCCCCCTCTTACGTCTTGCATTAGCACGCACTACCACAAGCTTGAGAGCAATGAAATTTTTCAATACAATAGCGAAATCGGAGGTTGAAGGGTAGTGCACTAAGAAAAACCATAAACCCGTGCACAATAATATTTAAGTATTATATATATACTATATTTTAAACCATGCACAGTAAACATTTATTTTTAACTTTTTCGTTTCGCGAAAATTTTCAACTCATTCGACCCGTCCGTCTTCGTCGTCGTGTGCTTTTGTGTGTCTCTGTGCTGCTCGCCCCCCTTCCACCTCCTGCTGTGTTTCGAGGGCTGCCACATTTGCCAAAAACGTAGTGCAATGAGTAAACTTGAATATACCAAGTAACAGTGCCTGCTATTTGCAGATAGTATAAACAAATTGTTTATAAACAATTAGCACACCTTTTCGTTTAAACAAAGTGTAGTTCCTCTAATATTTACTGACGAATCAGCTTTTCACATTGGCGTTACCATACTAAACCGAGTAAGTGGCAACGCTAGGTCGAAATGCGTAAGCTTTTCGCAATTGCCCGTCACACCATACAATGCTCGACATATGAATAGAAACCATGCGCTTAAAGCGCATGACCCATCAAGCTGATTGGCAGCTGATAAACTCACTTCAGCTATTTAAATGAATTGTAGTGCACATTTCTGCGATATATTGCAATTGTGGCCAGGGATGCGGGTCTTATTTGATTGTTTGAGCATGTGCACTCTTTGATGAAACTACCTATCCAGATGTCAAAGAACTGTTATACTTTTATCTTCTTCTAGTACACTGTAGCTTGTTAAATAACTATGACATTTACACGGTGACACAGAAATACATGCAAGCGGTAGCGCTTATAGGTTTACTTGTATCGTTTGTTGTGGGAAATTACATTAAAAATTTATATGACACTATATTTAAGCTTTTTGCGTTTTCTGAATTCAACGGCGGGTAAATATGGTACATTCATCTTTATACACATGTGCATGTGTATGTTTTTTCGTGTGCATATATGTATGTATGTATTTGTATAATATATACAATCTACGCAATTGAAAATGATTTCACTGAAATCTTTGTTCGCCGCAAATTTTCATTGTACTCAAATAAAAATAAGTTGCTTTGTCGCTGTAGACTTTTTTTTGTTGTTTCTATTGCACTTTGTTTGGCAAATTCGCATTACATACTGACGCATGCAAGTACTTATGCATGTATGTATGTATGTATATATTCTTTTTATACACGTTCCCTTTTTTTTATTGGTTGTTGCGCTAGCACAATTTTAACACTAATTTGATGAAACACGTACATGTAAATTATTGTGCTGCAACATTGACTAATTAATTATTATTTACTATTTAAATTAAACACTAGCACTCAAATTAATATGTAATTGAAACGAAAATAAGTTATATCGAGTTGAAAGCTTTTCCCCGACTGCAGCTGCAGTGCGACCATACATCGATAAGTAAAAAAAAATACTAAATTGACTGCCCATAAAGGCATAGTCCACGTTTCCCCAACCCTATTGCATTGAATATACACCGCTTGGTTCTTACATTTATTTAGATTTTAATTTATTACTGTTCAATCTTCTAGTTTTTCCGGCGGCGGTCCACACGGCTGCAGCATGCGTTCCATTAAATTAAACCGCACACGCGCCTTGGATTCGTTTTCGGCGATGGCAAAATAATTGAGCATATCGTAGTGCCCCATATAACTGGCCAATGAGTCGCGGTGTTGATTGGTCAACCACTCAAATTTGGTGGTATCCGCATGTCCTGTGCCAATATATTTGCTTTGTAGATGCTCCAATTGACTGTGTATGTTATAACGTTCGCCCATTTTGTGAAAAAATATTAATTTTTCGTTTCAGGCTAAATGTTGCGTTTGTTTTTAGTGATGTTTGGTGCAGTACTGAACTAGTTCTGTGAAAGTGAACCCAAAAAAGAACCGACTGTTAATGCCGTGCTAGGCCACTGTTAACTCACTGTAAACATACAAAATGTGCGGCCGAACTTGTTTGTAATTAATTTGCTTTGATTTAATAGCTAGCGTCAATAATTGTATTTAAATGTTTATTATATAGAACGCTTGATCCCGACCAGGTGCTGTGTGCGTGCAAATACCCAAAGAGCAATAAGCTCAAAGACGAAGAGGACATCAAGCAGGAATATGAAAAGCCCGAATGGCGCGCAGAGTTCAATTTAGGACGGCGTTATCAAGCCTCCTATAATATAGCCCCTACAGACATAACACCCGTCATGTAGGTTGATCTTAAGTTCCAATTATAGTAACTGGGACTTAGATTCTTTTGTACACCCCTTTAGTGTCTCAGCAGCGCACTTCAGCGAGGCTAAGGATCAGCAATATGCGCGTACTGTCATGCCCATGATGTGGGGCATGATTCCTGCATGGCATAAAGGCGACTATCGCAAACATGGTCTCACCACGAACAACTGCCGGCTGGAGCATTTGATGGATTCCAAATTGTATCGTGGACCCTTCAAGCGCGGCCAACGGTGTGTGGTCGTATGCGAAGGCTTCTACGAATGGCAAACCACAAAGCAAGCCAAGGCATCTGAGCGTGAGGCCTATTTGGTCTATGTGCCACAGGAGTCGGAGGTTAAGATCTATGACAAAAGCACCTGGTCGCCGGCGAATGTGAAACTGCTCCGAATGGCTGGCCTGTTCGATGTATGGCAGGATGAGAGCGGCGACAAGATGTACAGCTACAGCATCATTACCTTCGAGTCCAGCCAAATAATGTCCTGGATGCACTATCGCATGCCAGCGATACTTGAAACGGAACAACAAATGAATGTGTGTGAATAGACATTTCATTTGCATAATATATAAACAAAATAATGTTAATATATATTAATTTATAGGATTGGCTGGACTTCAAGCATGTGAGCGACGCTCAAGCTTTAGCTGCACTGCGTCCGGCAACGGCCCTGCAGTGGCATCGTGTTGCCAAGTTGGTCAACAATTCCCGCAACAAAAGTGAAGAATGCAATAAACCATTTGAATTGGCGGCCAAGCCTGAAAAGCCGAAGGGCATGTTGGCCTGGCTAACTGGAAACAAGACACGACAGCAGCAAAACAAATCCAAGTCCGGCGAGGTCGAGCAACTGCAGGAAACGGCAACTAAGGAAGCCCCAAAACGAAACCCAACTTCACCTAATGCTCTGCAAAGCTCTGCCAAGCGACCGCGCTGTGAGTTAATCAATATAGAGCAACAGGAGAGCTCTGATGTGCAGGTTAAATCGGAGGCCAGGTAAAATGAACAGTTATATAGGTATTTACAAAAAAATTATAAGCTCTTCTCTTAATGAATATTTAAAGCTTTGTATAGTATTTAAAATTTTTTTTTACATTAAAAACCGAAAGCTTTGTTCAAATTAATCAATTCTATGATAAAAGTATGTATATAGCGTTGATGTTTTTATACCCTGTACTCATTGAAAATGGGTAAAATGTATGTAACAGACAGAAGGAAGCATCTCTGACCCCATTAAGTATATATATTCTTGATCATATCTAGCCATATCCATCTGTCTGCCTGTCCGCCCGTTCGTATGTATGATCGCAAGGATCTCAGAACCTATAAGAGCTCAATTATATATATGTATAAAGTATTTTTTATTTGATAGCTTTTTGATATTAAAATAAGATTACAATTTGATCGATTTATTTACGCGGAATGAGTTTAACCCAAAAACCATTTTTAGGCTTTAATTGAAAACCGGCGGAGCTGAGAACTAGAGGAATACAGCTCTTCTTAGCTGGGGCAATACGGAACTCTCGCAGCAAATAGTATATCAAAGCTTTTGTCTCGAGTAGTGCGAATCGTGAACCTAAACAAAATACATATGTTTAGCAACAATAATGTCATTTTTTCCGATTACAGAACATAACACTCACCTATACAACTGCGCTGGCCTGTGCCGAAGGGAAAGTATGTGAATGGCTGAATTTTGTGCTTGTTTTGATCGCTAAAACGATCTGGATCAAACTTGGTCGGATTTTCGAAGTACTTGGGATCGAGATGGAAGCCACAGGTGGGCAGCCAAATGGCGTCGCCTTTCTTGATCTCAATGTTTTTGCCATCGACCACATAGGTAATGTCCTTGTTGCACTCGCGATCAATTGCGCTTGTCGGCGGCCACTTGCGCAGCACCTCCGACACCACCTGGTCCATGTACTTCATGCCTGTTAGAGCCTCGTATGTCAGTTGGCCGCCGTCTAGTTCGCTGTCGAGCTGTGCCACCTCCTCGTACAGTCTCTCCTGCACATCCCCATTCTCCATGAGCTCTTGTGCTGTGAAGCACATGAACGACGCCGACGTCTCAAAGCCGGCAAGGAAAAATACAAAGCATTGAGCAACTATGTCACGATCGCTCCAATTGCGAGCGTTGCCCAATTTTGGCTTATCCGTGTGGAACATGCCGCGTGCCTCCATCAGCATGTTGATCATGTCGGAGCGCACAATGTTGTGCTCCTGACGATACTTCATGGCATCCAACACCAGGCGCACTAAATAATCTACGCTTTTCCTGTCAAACAGCGGTATTTTAAGTAGCTACATTTAGTTGGAAAATATATACAAATAGATAGGGTATATATTATGGTTCGGATAGTCAATCAGCAGTTAATGCCCATATTACCTTAAAGAGTCGTTTGGCAGTAGTAAACATTAAAAATTTTAAGTTCTGCAGCGCACTGAAGCTGGTCATCCTCTTGCCCATAATGTAGAATGTATTGTCCCGATCTTTGAAAGAGTTCACCTGCAATCCAAATGCTGTTGAGGCAATCACATCGTTGGTGAATCGCGAGCAGTAGTCTTTCGTGTCCAGCTCAATTCCGCTTTCTGGTACATGATCTCGTTTCAGGCAGTCTACTGCCTCTTTGGCCACGATGTCTATCAGCTGGAACATCTGACGCATTTTGCTGCCCGTAAAGGCAGGACTCAGCGTGCTGCGCATGTCCTTCCAACGCGCATCGCGCATTAAGAACAAGGAACTATTGAAGATATTGTTCATGTCATGCGGATCGTCATCATCAGTGCCAAAGAAATTTCGATGGTTGATAAAGTGATCGAAGTCCTTTATTGTTATCTGCTTGATCAGTTCCGGATCGCGTATCATCAGCAGCGGCGTACGTTGCTCAAAGATGCCGTAAACCCTATAAGCATGCAATATTTAAATTTTAGGCGACATTGGTTATACTTAGAAATACCTAAAGACTCGCATTTATCATTCGAGTAAAAACTCGTACTTATATACTAACTAAACTTATCATGATCGAAGTAAAAATAACTTCTGAAACTTAATTGTTGTATTTACTCCATAATTGAGTAATAATATAATGAGCTGGGCAACAACATCAGCGGTCTTGCGCCAGGGAAAAACAAATGCAGTTCGCGCAACGCGCTATGCTATGCCTCTACTCAAAAACGAATTTGAATAGCAGCACAGAAAACAATCGCACTTGCGATTCGCAGCAGACGCGCATGAATGAGTGTGTGTACATGTATACAGATCTTAATGAAATTTACTACAGCATATCTTACTGTACCATAGAATATATGTGTATTCTCAAAAATTCAATTGCCTTTAAATTGTGACTTATATTGGTGGGCAGTATAAATTGGTTTATTAATTTGATTTATAGCTATGAGGTAGTAGCGGGGAGTTAGTAATATCTATAAAATGAAGGATACTTGATATATATATATACTAGTCTAGAATCAACATTATTATTTACCAAAATTGCTCAAAAAACATGATTTTGGTAACCATATTTATCGATTATTTGGAAACGGGCCAAGTAATCGAATATATACTTTATTGGGTCGGAGATGCTTTCCTCTGCCTGTTACATACATTTGCACAAATACATAATACCCTTTTAACCCACTTTCAATGGGTTCATAATGGAATGTTTATTATTAAAAAAAAAAAAAATCAAGATATATTATCTAATAAAAAAGAGAGCCTACTTTGCTTATAAAAAAAAACACCACGGACATGGCAATATGTCTAGTATGTCTACTCGGCTGTTGGTACTGATCAAGAATATATATGATTTATGGGCTAGGAGATGTCTCCTTGTTTGCGTTACACATTTCATGACAAAATAATAATAACTTCTACAGGGGTATTATATATAAAGCTTGCAATATAGACTATCTGGTGAAAATATTAAGAAAGATTAAGAAGAATGGAATATATTATATTGAAGTTGATATCTGGCCCAAGTGACAAATAACAGATATTTTGAATGCTTAACATACTCTGTTAACTACATGGGACCTGCTGCCAGAGTGACCGTGTGCACTTCTGTTAATATAAGCTATTGCTAATGTGACGTCACTATCCTACTACACAACTGATATATGTATGTACCCAGTTGTGTATGTGCATACATAAATGCGCAGTATATATCTATTGATTTAATTATGTAAAGAATGTGCTTTGCGCAATAGCCTGTTTGCTATCTAGTCAAAATTATGAATATGATATGATATACTCACTTGCCATTGCCTTTATTGTACAAATCGACGATCAGATCAAATATAGATTGTTGACGCAATAATATTTTATGCATGTTTCCCACAAAGGGAAACGGCTTTTCATAATCAATTCCTCGCTCCTTGAAGAAATTATAGTTGGCTGTGGCCCAGCGATAGGCCAGCAGCAAGGCGACGACAGAAATCGCAAATAACTCTAATAGCATATTGAAAGTTCACCGGCTAGCCAACCCGTACGGCAAACATCGAATTCAAACTAAACGAGTCAGTGCTTCGCTTCTATGAACGGAAGCTTTTGTTCCGAGCTTTTGTTTGCAGAGGAGGCTTTTGGATCAAAAGTTATTTTTCTGCCAAGCCAAGGGAAGAATAGGAATTAAGGAAGCTTGCAAAGTTCGCTTGCGCATATGACGTCACAGCCCAAGGCTTTTTGTGTATGATCGTTGCGTACAGTAAATGAATGCATTTTTCAATGAATGAATTATTATAAATGACGTAGCCCAACTTTAACTCATGCTCTGCAAAGCTCTGCCAAGCTACCGCGCTGTGAGTTAATCAATGCTGAGCTCTGATGTAAAGGTTAAATCGGAGGCCACTGTAAAATGAACAGTTATATTGGAGGTATTTTCAAAAGACTTCTAAGCTCAGCTTAAAATTTAAAGCTTTGTATAGTATTTAAAATTTATTTGCATTAAAAACCAAAAGATTTGTTCTCATTACCCAATTCTATGATATAAGTATGTATATAGCGTTGTTGTTTTTTTTTTGTTGCTTAAATACAAAGACTTAACGTATAAAAATTGATTTAAATTTCATTCTCTTATTTTTTATTTGTTATGCCATACGCTTTATTTGCTAATTTGTATGTTAAAAACTATGAATGTTTTATGTAAATAATATTTATATAATGCGTAGTCAACGTTATTTGAGCCGCGTCTGTTGGCAAACCCGTTAAAAGTAGAGCTTGCAATTTTCACAAATTTGACAAAAAAGAAAATTAAGCAATAACTGTTTTCAGTATTTGCACTTGAACTGTTTTTTCCGCATGCAAAAACAAATAAAAGCAAAAAATGAGCAAAACAACAACAAATTGGTGTCAATGTTGCAGTGCAGGGAGCAAATTGTAGCGGGCGGGTGAGAGAAAGAGCGCAACCCATGATTTCTGCATATGGGTGTGTGTGTGTGTGTGTGTGTGTGTGTGTGTGTGTGTGAGTGTGTGCAAGTGCTTACAAGTAGAATTGTTGTTTATTAGTCTAGGAATTACACATGTAATTATATTATTATGTATACACATATAAAAGTTGTATTCTTTTGTTCGTTAATGAACTTTGCAATTTGCATGAGTGATTGCCTTACAGCTATTTCGAATACTTTGCACTGCTTGGCAGAGACACAGACACAGCATACATATGTGTTCTCTCTGCGTGTGTGAGTGTGCGGATTGGCGGCTTTTCGTGTGGAAGCGAGCAATGATATCGATATCGAGAGCGTATACGGTACGTGACTACCGTTATGTGCCTAAGTGCCTATTTACGAGTCTACAATTTATTTGTTTTGCTTTATATCCGACTTGATATATGTATATATGCCATATATGTATGTATGCTGGCTAAAATATTTCAACAATTTTTTAGCATGATTCTTTTTTTCTTTTGTAGATTGCACTTGAAAAATAAGTAAAACTGAGTTTTGCACCGAGTAAAGATGAGCGCGTGTCTGGAAGTGCATGAGAAATAATGTATATTTTCAATAGTGAAAATAGCAACTCAACTATTGGTAATTATAAGAGTCTAATATTGCAATTTGTAGAATCATAAACAGATCAAATACTATCTGTAAGCTGTACAAGTTAATTAAAAACTGTTGCTTGCAAGAACAATATTCATGTCGTGCTTAGCTAGCTTAGCACGCGCTCATCCCTAACAGAGTTACAAGTGGACGTGTGTGTGTGTGTGTGTGTGTGCGAGAGAAGGAGAGAGAGAGAGAGAGAGGGAGAGGGAGAGAGAGTGCATTTACTCGAATTGAGTACTAAACATATTAATATTCAGATCCTCGAATGTGGTTGTGTTGGTGTGATCGAGCATTTGCAGCATATCTGAGAACTCCTGACCTTGCGGCTGCTGTGCGCCTGGAACGACTGCAGCGCCTGGATGTGCATGCGCATGTGGATGATGGGCATGCGGATGCGGATGTGGATGCGGATGTGCCGGGTGTGTGGCCGCATTTTGCCAATCCCAAGGCGTTGCCGCTGGCCCCGCCTGATATGCAGCCGCCTGTTGCTGCTGTTGCTGACGTTGTTGTTGCTGCTGCTGCTGTTGTTGTTGTTGTTGTTGCTGCTGCTGCTGGCCATTGCCAGCACTGAGCTGCGTGTAGGTGGGGCCGCTAGGCGAGCGCGCCGGGCTGCTCTGCTGATACGCTGGATATGCCTCAGTAGAAGTTGGCTGCGGCTGCTGCCCGGGCATGCCACGCGCGCCCCAGGCATTGGGTGTGGGCGAGGTGCCCGACTTGGGCAGCTTGGCCAGCGGAGAGGGTCCGCCGCCCGCTGCGGCGCCATATGGCGAGTGCGTGGCATCATAGCTATAGGCGACGGGCGTATTCTGCGCCGAGGCAGGACGTGGCGGCGGCGCCTGCATGTGCATCTGGTAGATGCCACCATCGCCGCCAGTGGGTGTAATCTCACGTCGCGGCGGCTGCAGCGTATAATCGACGCCCGGCGCCTGCACATAAACATGTTGTTGCTCCGCCTGCTGCTGTTGCTGCTGTTGTTGCTGCTGCTGCTCGGGCGTGGCGCCATGCAGCGTCTTGCCGGAGCTGTTCGTGCACACAATGTACTCCACCTCATCCGTGTAGGGATTGAGGAAGGCATAGGCCTGCGTGCGCAGCCATACGAACTCGGAGCTCTTGGCGCGGGCGCGATAGAGCAGCGAGAACATTTGTCCCTTCTGCTTGAGCACCTGATCGAAGCTCTCCTTCATGTGGCTCTGGTCCTCGGGATGAAAGAAATCATAGCATATCTTGCCCAGCAGCTCGGTGGGCGTATAGCCCAGAATGTGCAGCACACGCTGATCCACAAACGTGAATTTGCCATCCAAGGCGTGGCGTGTGATGAACTCGCTCTGATTATTGCTGCCGGTCATGTCGTTGGCAGCCGTTGAGGTGACCTGCAGCCGGCCAATGGCTACCAGGCAACAGTGGGAGGCCATGTCATCCACATCGCGTTCCATGTGCACATTGGGAAACATGTCCGTGGGCGGCCAGTTTTTTATGTAGCCTGTGCAATGGACCACAGCATAATTGGAGCCATCCCGGGAGGGGCCCAAGGAATTGCGCTGCTTTAGGCGATTCAAATGGCCAGAGACCATGGCGTCCGGATTGACATTGCCCACGCGCATGCGACATATGAAACCACGGCGGGCGCCCATGCTGAGGCGCATGCTCGACTGATGACCCTCCTTTTTGACTGTGCCCGACTTCAGATCGAGGATGCGGCCCGCATTCTGTGACTCCTGCGTGGACAGCTGTTCGCGTATCTTGTCCCTATCATCCGGATGGATGTGCTCATACAAGCTGGTGCCATACCAATCGCTTTGTGTATAGTTGAGCACCGGAGTCACCGAGTCGGACACATAGATCACACGGCCCGAATCACAGGATACGACGAATAGAAAGCCATCGGCTGCCTCCAGGATTAAATGCTTCAGTTCCTGGTCTGTGAGAAAGGAGGGCTTGTAGGTGCCATCGCTGCTCGTATTGCCTGTGCCACGCAGCGCCTTCATGTGGGCCACGGCCATGCGCAGGATGGTCAGCTTGTCGGGCTTGCGTGCCAGGGCGCTGCAGGTGGGCACCATGTCCGAGAGTTCCGTTATGTAGGCGGTCATTTTGTTGCGACGGCGTCGTTCGATTTCACAATGATTCTCGCGGCTAGCGAAGCGCTCCTTGTCCTGTATGTTGGCATCGTCCATGATCCGAATACTTAATTAGCCCACTCTTTCACTCGCTGTATATTTATGTGTGTGTGATTGTGTGTTTGTGTATTTATGAGTACTTCTCTTAGTTTTGCTTTGCTCTGCTGTTCGCTTTCTTTATGTGGGTCGCTTTGCCGCGACGGCCCAGCGCACGGTTCTGAAAAGTGATTCGTGTGTCGAGGGAGGGTTTAGTATTTTGTCTACGTTTGCCACTGTGTGTGTGCATGTGTGTGTATGCAAGTGTATATATGGCCAGTTTTTGTAACAACACACAGCAAATCTAGGCAACAGTTTTTACATTGTTAATTGTACACTATTAACACATGTCTGAAGTTTAACACATTTTAGCGCTGTTAACGAGAGTTTTTAACTATTTTATGGCAAATTACCAAATTTTCTTCCACGAATTGCACACACACGATAAAATCTGAAACTGTTTACTGTGCACAGTGTGACCGTGCTAGACATAAAATACCAAAATCTAACAGACTTATCGATGCGAAAATGCAGCCCTGTGGCGCTGCCAGATTGTTTAATGGTGATATCGATGAATTTCGACTTGCAGAAAATACCACAAAATATCGATAACCCTGAAACGCGACGTTAATTTAAAAATACTTTAGCAGCAAGTAATGTTCTATTATTTATTAAAACTGCTCATGAATTTAAATGTTCTTGATAAGTATTTAATGGTATTACAGCATTGCATTGTCTTACATATATCATATATAGTATCATAAATTCATTTACATTTATTCATAACTAGGCATTGTAGCATTTAGTACTTGGTTTTAAAAAAATTAAAATTAATTATCAGTAGTTTGTTTTATCCGCTCTAAAACTCAATTGTCAATTTCAATTCTTATAACAAAATAGTTAAGTAGCTTGCGCTACATTTAGCATACTCCTTTGTTTTTGCATCAATAAGTTGTTTTTAATACAATCTTAGGTAAAGTATATATTTGTTCTGGTTGTTTGTTTGTCTCATTTTTTTTCATTCTTCTTTTTGTTTGCTTGAGTTAATTAATTATTGGCAATACTCTAACTGCATGTTTTCACTTTCATTCAAATGGTTTAAGTTCATATCCATTTTATTTCAATATTTGTTTCAAGCGAAGTCTTTTGTTCTATGTAGTTTTTGTTTTTTGTTTTTTTGTTTATAACTGTGCGCTACTTAATTGTAGTTATCATAAAATGCGTCTCTTTAAAGTTGCATAGCGTGCAGTGTTTATTTTTATAATTTACTTTCGAATGAAATCGTCTTTTATAGTAAACTTCAGCATAATTCGTTGACTAGAAATTAACTTAAGTACTTAAGATTTAACTTATATATTATATTTTTGTCTATTTTGGTGCAAAATTAATTGGCTGAACAACATTTTTCTTAACATTTCGTGCTTAAACTAGTCTTTTTTTGTTTTACTTTTGGTGTCTTGTTTTTGTTTTTTTTTTTTTTGTTTTTCCATTTTATAAGTTTATTAGTGTATGCATTTTTATTTAAGAAATTTTAAGTTGACGGCAGAGTTTTGGTTCTTCTATATATATACTTTGTTTGTTCTTTAAATTTTTGTTGCTGCAAACCTAAAGAAAATGTTTCGTACATGCCTTAACAATTTTATGCTACAATCCAAACATTTAGCACCAAAATGATTTAAAAATACGCCAAATAAACAAATACAATATATTAAGTTGATTTTGTGTTTCAATTCTTTTGCACAGGTTTTTAAAAATTTTGTCTTTATATAAATTTGCAACAACAAATTAAGAGCTATACAAAAATACTTTGGTTTTTTATATATTTATATAACATGCTAATACATCGCAATTGAATTCTTAAAAAAAAATTAAATATATATATATCTTTAAATCAATTGAATTAAATTGAACAAATCTTTTGGCTTGTCGCCGCAGCACTTAGCATTAAAATCACAAAAAATTAAATATTTATACTAAGCATACGTCTAGAGCTAAGATTAAGCATAAATAAAGTCAGTGTTCCTTTTGTTTTTTCTACAACTAGTTTCCTTTTTTGAAGTTTGCCTTTCTTTCAGTTAATTGCAAAAATATCAGTTTATTTTCAGGTTCTATATTTCTTATTTTCTTTTCTTTTTTTTTTTTTGCTATCAAAACTAGTTGCTAATACTAGTTGCTTTAAAAAATTCATTGACGAATTTGTGTTGTTATAAATATTTTCTTTGCGCTTGTTGCAAATCTCTTGCTAAACATTAAATTTATACTTCTTGCTTAAGTCGATTGCGAGTTCAAAGTTAGGAAATTGCTGCGTCTTTCGAAGAAAATGCGTTGAGTGTGTGTGTGTGTGTGTGTGCTAATAGACGAGGGTTTTCTTTGTGTGTATTTTGTTTTTTTGGGTAACTGCTTTGACTGCCTACGTCGTGTAGGTGCGTATTACATCGCGTATGACTGCTCGGCAGAGCGGACACTGACCGCCGCCAACGCCGCGCCACTGCTCGATGGCGCAATCGTAGCACATGCACATATGCCCGCACATGTAGAGCACCGAATCAATGGGATTCTCATAGCAGATGGTGCATTCGGCGCTGGAATCGGTGCTCTGCTGGTCGCTGAGACTGTCCTTCCATTTGGTGCCGTTTAGTGTGCTGGTGCTTTGGGCCACCGGCTGCATGGTTATCAAAGAGAAGAGAATAAATTAATATTGTATTTGGATAAGAGTAATTGAAATTATTTCATAACATAGATTCAATTAGGAATTCGATTTTATTTCACAAGCGCAGCCAACTTAACAACAGCACACATATGTGTGGTGTTGCCAGATAGTTGAAGCTTGAAGTATATCCATTCAAAATAAAAATGAGAAAACTGAAGATTTAGAAGGAATAAAAAAACAAGGAAATAATCTTTAAATTTCTCAAGCACAAGCAATATGTTAGCCATGTCAGTCCATTTAATGACAATAAGTTAGTTTTGATCGATTAGAGGTCAAATTGTTTATGGAAAAGTAACGCATAATTGAATAAATAATGTTATTAATATTCTATGAATGTTACTAGGCTTAGAGCTAGCGCAGCCAACTTAACAACAGGCTTGCAATTTATTGGTGCTGCCAGATAGTTAAAGTGCCAGCTATATTGATGGACATTATTCAAAATGAATCTCTTCTATAAATCGCTTTGCTGATAATTGTTATTCATTCAACTCACCTCAATATATTGCTGACTGCTGGTGGTGCTGATCAATGTGCCGCTGGAGCAGGCGCCGGCCAAAATGCCGCTGCTGGTCACGGTGGCCGCGGCGCTTGCCGCCTGCCGCCCGGCCAGCTGTCCGTTGAGATCATGCGAGCTGCTGGCCGGCGGCAGATTAACAACGAGCACTGTGCCGCCGCCATTTGGCTGTATCTGCAGGATGTCCCCGTTGGAGGGCATGCTGATCATGCGGCTGCCATTGCCGGCAGTGGAGGCCAACGTGCTGCTCGACTGGGTAACGTTCAGTTGCATTTTGGATGCGGCCAGCATCTGGCCGGCATTCAGGCTGTTCAGCGACTCGGCCATGGGCAGCATGCGTGAGCTGGCGGCAGTTGTCGAAGCAGCTGCAGCTGCAGCTGCAGCAGCGGCGTTTATCTGCGGCTGAGATGGGTATGCCACCATGTTGGGCAGCTGCTGGCGGAACATGCGCAGCGATTGGGTCGAGCCGTAGACATCCAAGAATGCCCACAGCTGGAGCGACTGATCCACATGCATGACGACGACGGCTGGGCCATTGTTCTTGCTGATGCTCACCTCGCCGTTGGGCGCCACAAAGAAGGCGATCTCATCGCCGCGCTGCGGCGCCGCAGCAATGTCCTTGCTAACGACCCAATATTCGGGACGATCGAGCAGGAAATCCGAATCGTTGGGCAAGTCATTTGGCTGCAACAAGGCCGGATTGCACGAGGTCAGCCCCAGGGCCAGTGCGCCCACATACATCTGCTCCGTCTTGAGCACCTGGACAATCAGCTTCTCGCCAATGCGTATCGGCCGCGCCGTGAACACATAGCCCTGGCAGAAGTCCGACTCGGTGCGTGAGGCGACAAAGCGATCGTGCGACAGCCGCACATTGCGTCCCTTTGTGATGTGAAAGGGCACGGGTATCAGCCGTCCATTGGCATTGTAGCGCAACGGCGGCAAGCCGTTCGCCAGATCGTGCTCAATAATGCCGGCAGCCGTGCCGGCCAAATGGAGCGACTGCAGCGACGGCATCACATGACGCTCCAGCTCGTGATCCACAACGACGCCAGTGCCGCCGGGCAGCGAGCGACGCGATTGCTGCAGAGGATGATGCGCCGTGAGCTGTTGTTGGGGCAGCTGCTGCTGTTGCTGGGGCAACTGCTGCTGGGGCAACTGTTGCTGCTGTAGCTGTTGCTGTTGCTGCTGCTGCTGCTGCTGCTGCTGTTGGTACATGTAAATGCGTGCATCGAGAAACTCGATGCCCGTGCAGTTGCCATAGATGTCAATCACAGTCCAGAGCAGGCCGCGCGTATCAATCCCAGATAGTATGACGCCCTTCTCCTCGTTGTTGATGCCATAGATGACATCGCCGGCATTGTTCACATAATAGTACAAAATGTTGTCCTTCTCGCAGTATTGCTCATGCAGCGCCTTGGCCCAGAAGCCCGGCCGATTGGTCAGATCGGGGCAGGCATATTTGGGCAGGGCGCCCTCCAGCGAGGCCGGGTCGTTGCTGGTGAAACCGAAGCGTATGCCGCCGTTCCAGTTGTTCGAGATCTCGGCAAACTTGACGCAAATCCGTTCATTGATGCGCACCGGACGTGCCGAGAACGTGATCGCACGGCAGAAGCTCTCGAAGCGACGCGCCAGCGTTCCATCCCTGGAGATGCGTATATTGTCGCCGTGCACCGTATGGAATTGCAGGGGCGGCAAATTGTTGGGGCCCGGGCAGGAGGAGGGAGAACGGCGAACTATAAAAAAGAGAGAGACAGAGCATATGAGTAAAAGAGAATCACAAAGCTGACAAGGAGCGCGGAAAATTGCAAAGCTTAAAGCTTTTAAAGCACATTTAGCATGCGCTTTTAGCTTTAAAGCTTTTTGACGATTTTCAACGCATTTTAATCGTTTTTCAATACAATTCTTGTAGTTAGCGTAGGTTAGTTAAGCTTGCTTAAAGCTCTATTTGAGCTTAAAGCTGTGTATTGCCAATTTCAGTGTGAGTAAACGATTTAAAGTGGAATTAAATACAACACTGTCATAGCTTTCCATCTATTCCTCTGCTAAGAGCTGTACCCAACACTTGAGCATTTCGTCACATATACTCCACATACCTTTCTATGGAACTCTATGCACATTACACTTGAACTCTTCCGAGAACTTCGTATAGCAACAGCTGCTATGCATTGTAGCAGGCATATCGAACGTTGATCGAAATGAAATTTTAAAAGAATTGTCAATTTATGATTTTTACAAGAAAAGAGTTCAAGAATCTGCCCAGCACATCAAAGTCACGTGCTGCGCCATCTAACTTTTAAGGGTACTTGCCGAAGGGGTTAATGCCTCTTGCCAGGGGCTACTGTTAAGAGTTTGTAATATGAGAACTAGCACATGGCTTAGGAATCCGTACGCTTCGTTGGATTTCTTCAGAGTGTGTGTGTGCGCAGTCAAATATGGAGACTACCTGCGTGAAAAAGTATTTCCTTTGACTGAACATAACTCGAGACGGTGCTGCCTATTTGCTATAAAATGTAGCTGGTAATTGTAACTGATGTTAAGGTTGGGCAACAAGAGTTGCCAGATCACATTTGAATGTTTGCTCAAATAACTGAACGACTAGGTATAACAATTTAACATTGCGTAATTCAAAACTAAGACGTTTCTTTTGTTGTGCGTAGCTGTAAATTGTAAGCAATTATAAGAAGATGCCAGATCGTATAAATGTTCATGTCAAATAGTATAGCTTGAGGATAAATTTTCGATATCTCAAGTCGAAACGATATCTTGCAAATAACCGATGCTCGCCAGATCCAAAGTAAATGTTTATTCGAATAACTTTTCGACTGATCATTACAATTATTGCACCTTGCGAGCCCTTGAGTGTAACAGCAGCTGCCTGACAATTACCACACGCAAGACCAAGAGTAAGCTCCAGTTAGCTGCAATATTAATAATGATCAAGGTATCGGGGCATTGGCGACAGGTTTTCGGCATTGGGGCATGGCATATGGAATGCGGCGGCATGCCAGGCAACAGTTGCAAAAGATGCCCGAACAAAATGGGCCGAGAGACAGATCAAACGGGCACTGCGACAGCAGGACAATGTCAGACAGACGGCGCGCCGATTACCATGTTGATATGCGGCGCGTGGCAGCGTCTCAGGAATGGGTCACACACACACGCAGGCACAACAGGCGGTGGCAAGCGTCTTGAAGGATCCTTTTGTGCATTATTTGATCAGGCGGCATGTGGCAGCTGCCCGTGCGCCAAGGCGTTGCCTTTGCGAGGCAGCTGCAGCGAGACAGGTAAAACAACCCCGTATATGGCTAAGGGTAGCAAGGCGATCAACAGGGGTTGCTGGCGACGAACAAATGCAAAAGGGAGAGATAGAGAAAAAACAAAAAAAAACGACAGATGTTCAAATTACGAAAAGCACTTAAAAGAAAAAATTTGAAACTAAGCTAGAGACAAGGCAAAGTATCTCCATCGAGGGTTGAAACTCAATGCGTTCGTTGCCCCGACCATGATATAGGGGTGCAAAGAGAAAGAGAAAGAGAAAGAGAGAGAGAGAGAGAGGGAACTGCATGTGAGCAGAAAAATCTGTGTGGTTGCAATTCAAGTAGAACGCGGCAGAAAGCAGAACTCATATGCTAAGCGCGCTTCCGGCACAGCCCGGAAGTCTGGGCCAAAGGAAGCAGCAGCAGCAGCAGCAGCCCGACTTCCGCTTGGCCGAGAGCAGCAGCAGACCAGTTAAAATAATACCAAAGATCTGCAGCTAGACCGACCGAGTACATTGGCGCAGAATGCATTGCATCAATATTTATGATATTGGCCGCAACGAGGAAGTCGGAAATCACGTTTGGGCCGGCTCCACTTTTGCTGCTGCTGCTTCTTTGTTGTCGTCTACGTGTATTGGGGCTTATTAGCTGCAGGATGTCGCCTGGCGGCAACGGCGACGCCTACTTTTTGCCACAGACACAGACACAGACGCAGACAGAGACAGAGGCCCAGACCTCAATAGTCCAGACATTGTCGACACGAATGAATGAAATACTCGTAATATCATGTTTTCTTCATTTTATTCTCTGCGATCCAACGCTTAAATCAAACGGTTAACGCGCTACGCGACGATCATATCAATTAGCTGGCAACTTTGGCCGCAACACGGTCAATTAATTAGCTGGGCCCGCAGCTAGGCGCACAATTGGAAAATGCGTATGGGATCATGATGAGCACTGCCGGCTGGCTAATGATTGCACTGAAGATCATTAATGAACGTGGGGGACAAGGATTAAAGGGTTTAGAGATCATCAATGTGTAGATCGGTAGTAGAGGAAGGGAGGCAGAGGGAGAGACAGAAAAGATCACAAAGTTTCATCTCATAGTTATTTATAATTATATATAGATCAGTTCTACAAGGATTCGAGTTTAAGTCAACATGTGTTAAAGATCAGCTGAAAAGATCATAGTAGAGATATCTACAAATATGAGCAAGTGAACATTTGTTGATCAGCAAACGATCGCGGCTAAACATATATAAATTATCTACTGATCAGTTGAACTGGAGTAGAACAAAGTCAAGTAGAACAACTGAAGTAGAAATGCCCAATGAAATTGGATCTGTGTAGCAATGTCTTTGCCAGATCAAATAAATATAGATCTCTGTAGCAAATGTCAAATGCCAATAAAGCTCAAACTGATCGTTAGCAGAAAGGAGTGGAGAGTTCATTTAGAATATAGCATGGAAGAATTGATGATCATACTGTGCTTCTGTATCTCTAATAGTTGCGATCGTATGTTTATCGATCGAGATCGATCTGTAGAGAGCAGCAGAGTGGAGTTGATCTCAGTGAGACAGCGATCTGCAATGAGGATATCTGTGGAGAATAGATATCAGTGCAAATTGAATATTTATTTTCATTGCAATTAGCTTGTTACTCTCAGGATCAGCTATACACAAATTGGCCAATCTGAGGCACACATTACAATCATTCAGGGACTGCGCAAGTTCGGCTGCAGAGTTCAGAGCTTTTTTTGGAGTTTTGCCGACAATCGACATTCGACATCATCAAATTGGCAAACGTGTCCGAGCTGAGCCGAGCTGGAAACGAAGCGAACGATCTGCCAAACGATCGCAGGCAAATTTTCGTTGTTGTTTTTGGCCAAAGGAAAAACCTGATTTACCGTTGAGTGCAGACGCGTCTCAAACATTTCCCACGCTGGCCGTGAGCAAAAAATAAAAAAATTCCCACGACTCCAAATTTGTATATATAGGCGAATAGATATATACATATACATATACATATATATTGTGGATGCTTGACTATTTTCGGCTGAAAAACCTGTAACAAGCTACAATAATTGCAACTGCAGCGATGAGTAAACTCTTAAAGGGGCAGCCGCAGCTGCCTTTGCAGTTAGCGGGTGGAAAATCGAAAACCGAAAGAAAAAAAAAGAAAAAAACAAAACACAGAAATGTGAAAATCATGCAGGTGTCATAAAAATGGCTGAAGTAGCACTCAAATTGCCCAGTTGGGCCATTGTTAGCCGCTTCATGTAACAGATCAACGATGAAGATCACAAAGCACAAAACAGCGACTGGCTGTAAATTGATCGTTAGAAATCATTTGGGGCCGACTGATCATTAGTTTGATATTTGAAGAACATCGACTCGAAGCTTTAAGTGTACCAATTTTTAAGGATTGATTATCATTATGATTGAGCTTGGGCCAAGGCAAATATTAAACAAAGTCATGTGATTTTTAAGCGTGGCTAAAATGTCTTGTTTTAATTAACAATAGCTTAACGATTAGGCATGCAAAGCTTTAAGTTAAAAGTCTTTGAAGAGTAACAAGGAGAAGAGCTTTAAGCGCTTATACTAAAAAAATCGTTTGTTAACGCCTTTAATCAGTAAATAATAAAAATATAAGTTGGAAACGGTTTCAAAGTTTTAGATAGTTATTAATTCAAGCATCAATATGTTTATTAAGAAAAGCTCTCAATTTGTCAAAGCTTTAATAGAGCTGCGAATGTGTTGAAGAATTTTGAAAGCAATTCACATAGAGCTTTCCATATCAACAGCATAGTAGTCTCTTTATCAACAATTTCTTTTTTATTATTACACATATGTACATGTATTTTTTTATTGTATGTTGACTTGCTGCCCCTCATAAATGGCGTCATATTGTGTGCAATTAATTAACATAAATTAACGCTGATTTGTTGCGTACACAAGAATTTCGCATAGAGTTCATGGTGCGGGTTTTATGGGTATGAGAATTGCCCGACAAGTGGCAACACTGGCCAGACAAGTCTGCCCACAAATTGAGTTATGCGCTGCCCACGCAATCGGCATTTTTTTCTAACCAAATTTCCCTGTGATCGTGTGGTGGTATGTGTGGGCTGGGGCGTCTTAAATGAGAGTTAATATGTGGGCTTTTAGTTGGACAAGCCTACAAGTTGAAGCTTAAGCGAAAGCACACGCCATCGAAGAGAGCACCCACTCAAAGTCGTGCTCATTTGTCAATTGACCAAACGCAAACAAACGCAGTGGCAACGTGGGCCGCATCAATTGATACACTTTGTAATCGATCTACACAGGCACCGCCGCCACCGCCACCGCCGCCGCCGCCGCCGCCTGCACGCCTTTACTTGAATTGTCAAGCATTTCCGGCAATAATTAAAGAGGCCTTCGCGTTAATTGTTGCCACACGTTCCGAATTGCCTACGCACGTGGGCAACAATGACAATGTTGGGCGACACGTGACCTATAACCTATGACAAAACAACAAAAAACCGGTGCGTAGGCCAGAAGCGCTGACGTACATTTCAAAAACAAATTTGTGCTTTCTAAGAGAGTATGTGAAAGAGAGACGGCACTTGACATAGCTGCCCGCTCTGCAACTTGTTGCTGTTTTCTTCTGGTGCATGCAAAACCGCTTCCGCTCTGCCGCAGCGGAAACCACAAAAGCATCAGGCCAATTACACATACTCACACTCCGCCGCCGCCGCCGCCGCACACTGTCTGCCGCCCGCTCTAACACAATGCAACTATAGAAGCCGTAAAAGCACAAATGAGCAAATTGTCCATAGAACACACACACACACACACACATGTATATATATAAAAAAGAACAAGAAATAATTGCACAATAAACGGCCGACGCTGGCCGAGGGCCGGCAAGAGGTCAAAACTATGGAATGATGTTTTTGTTGCTGCTTTTGCTGCAGTCGTACAATGCACTTTTTTATGCGATTAAGCGAAATCTGATGACACTGCCATGGGATGCATGACAATTTGATGTGCGTGTGTGTGCTTGTTGAAGAGTAAAAGTAATGGCAACAATTGTGATATTGTTTTAATGTGAGAGCAACAACTGTTAAATTTCCCTGCAGCTGAATTTCCCTTGCCATAGTGAGTCACAATTCATTGAAAGTTTGAGTTGCACTCGCTGCAATTTCCTGTAGAGCTTTAGCTTAAAAAAAATACTGATCACACCTCAAGGGTTCAATGACTGCCAGCGTCACAATATTGTCTCAATCTATCAAACACACACACACACACACGCATGCAACATATTTATGTACATGTGTATAATTAGCTGCCGCGAGGGTGGCCAAATCAAATTTTACATGGTTTATTTTTACAAGTTGCGCTGTTTATGAGTCTTGTCTGTCTATATGGGTATCTGAAGAGAAGGAGGGAGGGAGCAGCGGGGCGGGGCTTTTGGTTGTTTTCCATATGCGCAGCGAAGCATGCGACCCCTGGCAAGAAGCTAGCGCAGTGCTCAAAATAGGAATTGGAGCCCGTTTCAGTTGAAGAATTGAACATACATGCATATATGTATATGTAGATATTCATAAAGTATGAAAATAACATAAGCTATGTATACTGTATAAAGATAAGATGGCGGACTTGACGCTCTTCCGTTTCGTTGTGTTGTTGTTTATCGAAGCGTTGCAATTGTTTCTACGTTTGATGAGAAAGGGCTAGTGAAGAGTTACATACATATGCAGACATACACATACATCTACACAGTGCATTTCCTCACACATACACACGTATGTGAAAAGCCGGCGCACTTGACTGCACAGCAGCGTCGCAGTTCCTCTGCCCAGCTCTTAGACCACTTCAGCTTCTGCCTCTTTGTAATTAAATCACTCAGGCATAGCGAGCAAGAGAGAGAGAGAGCGAGAGAGAGCGAGTGAGCGCAACACAAGCACGCGCTTAATAGACCTAGACAGCTGAAGAGCTTACACATCATTATAACATTATAACAATGCATTTGAGTAGATAATAATGCAAGTGGATTTTTATTGTTTTATCACGTATTTATTACTTGGAAAAGCTAAATAACTGTACGTGCCAGCGTTTACTCTCTAACGCTGTCTCTGTCTCTATTTAGTCTGGCTCAAGCTCTTCCAAATTTGCATGAGTTTGTTCTCTTAATTGTCAATTTCCTTCCAGCTGTTCCATTGAGCTAAAATTAGCTCAGCTAATAGGCGCATCATGTAAATTTTGATATTCTCTGCATAATCATGCACAGCTGCGAAAAAGTAGCGTAACTTATGCGCAACATAGGCGAAAAATCTAGTTCCCGACACATTAACGCACAGCCAACCTTTAATATAATGCGAACGCAGCGCCACAAAAAAAAAATAAAAAATTAAACATGACAGCGAAACAAGAACACAAGCCCGAAATAAAAAGCCAATCGATGAACAGCTGAATTTGTTTTTTTTTTTTTCTTTTTTTTGGACTTGGCCGATACGGCCCGTAGATATGCAGGCATCTAGCGTTTGATTTATATGGCCAGTCGATTGTCGAACGGAGCGCGTGCATAATTGGTGCGAGTTGCCTCTTGGGCCACCTTTTGCGTGAGTTAATTGCCGAGAGCCTGTTGGAAGGCAGCTGTTTGTCCAGACCCGCATCTTGGCCTTACCTGTTGCTACCTGCCCGTTGTTGCGACACCCAAGACGGTTTTATCGTGTATCTATAGGGTGTACGACGACTATTATCTATTCGCCTGGCAAACTGTTAACAATATTTCTCAGTAGATATGCCCGAGCATTGCATGTGCTCAGCTGTCAGGCTGGTTCATTAACTGATAAACTCGGGAGAAGAGTATGTGGGTCACTGTGATAAAAACTTATGCTTGAGTGCAAAAGCGCAGTTACTTTATTGTAGCAAACTGTAAAATGTACTTTATAATAGCTAAAAACAGTTTTCGTATAGCTCTAAAGCCCTCAATCCCTGATCTGCACGAAGTTACATGATACTTTTAAATGTGCGTCCAAGAGGCGTTAGGGGTTAGACAGACTCTCTTTATGTGACAATTAAATGCGCTCTTCCTGGAAAGTGTGTATGTATTTATACTCTACAGAAATTGCGATCGCCAATACGCTGTTATCTTAGTAAATATCAGCTTGACCAAAATAAAAATATTGTGTGTGTGTGTGTGTGTGTGTGTGTGTGTGTGTGTGTATGTGTGTGTGTATTTGCAGTGTTCAAACGTTTTGAAGGATGACGCATCAGAAGCGGCACTCATGAGCTCATAGGCAAAGCAAAACAAAAATGAGAGAAGCAATTGAAAGTTGTGCGATTTTTATTTATCGCACATACATAAACATTTACATAAGTGTGTGTGTGTGTGTGTGTGCTTCGGGGGAGTGTGAGATGCGCTGTTGAGCAAATATTTGTCGGCGCGTAACAAATGAAGCCTGCAGAATGCATTTGAAATTTGAGTGAAGTTGGCAGCGCCAGCAACAATAACAACAACAGCAGCAGCAGCAGCAGCGGCAGCAAAAGTAAACCGTGAGAAGCTCAAGTAAAAGCAGATAAACCAAAGCCAAAGTCAAAAGCGACGGCTGTGTCTATGGCATGCCAACGGACGGGCAAGAAGCAGAGGACATGACAACAACAATAACTGCTAACAAAGTGTAATAGAGAAAAACAAAAACAACAAATACAGCAACAAGCAGCTGATTCCAGGCAGCAACAACAACAACAAAGTAATTTCATTGATTACCGATACGCAGCGCAAATGCCGCACGTTCAAAACGAACTGGAATGAAATTGGAAGGGGCAACGGGTAAGCCTAAAAACGCAGCTACAACAACTCGCCTTAAGCCAACGCCCCCCCCTCTAGACGCTCTTTAAAGCTTGTCTTCTGCCTGGTTTTTTTTTTTTTTTGTTGCTTTGCTTTGGCTGCTGCTTTGCCCAGTTGCCGACGGCGGCAACGGCGCTTCGCGTACAAATCCAACTACTACAACAACAAGCGACTGCTGAATGGGGCATTTGGCCAGACTTGTAGGGCCTGTCCAGGGGTAGAGGGGGTTGCGGTGGCAGGTCGTAATGTATGCGTCATTGGCTTGAGGCTTGGTAAGGTTTTTTTTCTCTCCCGTAGTTTACCTTCTGCTGCTCCGTCTGCAGAACAAGAGCGAAGAGCAAAGAGCGAAGAGCGAAGAGCGCGAGCGTGCCAAGAGAGGCTTTTCCAGCTGCATGAAATCAAAACAAAATGTCAAATCGCTATGATAAACATAATCGCCCTGGTTTTGGTATATGGGCTATATGTATTTGTATGTGTATAAATGTTTTGATTTTTTGGTTCATTCAACGTATGGAGACTTTGCAAATTGTTTCTGTTTTTCTTTTTTCGTTGATGAGAGATCGAGAGGAGTTCCGGTGAATGTGCCAGTGTTGGAAATTGTTCAGAAATTCTTGGAAATATTATCTTTTAAAATGTTTTAGCGGCTTTTATGCTCTTAAATAAGGTCTAAACTAAAACACACAGAATATATGTATGTTACTTAATGAAATAGGGCCCGATTTACTGTTAAAGCTAGTTTCATGAGATTATCTAACTTAACTGTTTTCGCTTAGCTTAGTTTCATATAAGACCTGAATAGGGAAGTTTGCAGATTCGTGAAGAACTACGCAGGCTTTAACAAAAAAAATCTCAAGCGAACTTTAGAGCCATAATCTTGGACACACGCGAATCGCTTTTGTTTAAACAATCTCAAGTGGTTTTTGCTGAGAGTTTTATGAATGATTTAAAGGGAAGGGAAAAAATGCTAATGTATTTAAATACTGTTTGTTGTTGCTTTGCGTTTAAATGTATTTATTTATCTTTGCCGCATTCATTAACAGCACACACACACACACACACACACATGATAAACGCGCGTCTGGGTTAATAGTATGTGGGAATTATTTTCAAGATATGCAAAAATGAATTCAAGTTGCTTTGCCATGAATTATTTATATAGTTCAAGACGAATTTTCGCACGCTGTAATTACGTTGAAATAATGCAATGGAATGGAAGTTTGAATTGTTTGTTTATTTGCATTTTGTTTTGTACTAACCGAGTCCAAAGCGTTTCTTGATTTTCTTCAGCAAGTGCATTTTCTTTTTGCTGGACATTTTGTCCTTGGGACTCATCAAGAGCTCGCTGTTCTCCATGGCCAAAACGTGAGCGGCGGCCGCTGCAGCCGCTGCTGCATTATGATTATGATTATGATTGTGATGATGATGATGATGAAGTTGTTGTTGCTGCAGATTGTGGCCGGTTTGTTGCATATAGTTGGCTGGTATATCCGATAGACCCATGTTAACGGTTAAATTAATTTAAAATAACTAACTGAGAAAAAGCGCTTGGCAAAAACTAAAAAACTTTGCTGTTTGGCAAATCTTTTTTTTTTTTGGCATAAATAGAGTTTGTTATACATTTAAAACATTTTGGTATTTGCATATATATTTATTGTTTGCAACGGTACAAACAAACGCGAACGAGAACCAAACACGGACAAAACGAAACGAAAACGAAACGAACGAGCGTCAGTGCCAGCTGCGTACCAAACACTTCGACGTTTATTTTATAACTGAAACTTCTTTGCAGCGCCAGCAACGGGCAAAGTAAAAAGGCTGCGCCGCCAGCGACAGCGTCAGCGCCAGCGTCAGCTGAGCAGCGGTGAGCGCGTGAGCGCAAAACAGGCACGAGTGCGTTTCGTGTCGTTTGACTGCATTTGCCGAGCGGCCATCAGGGTCAAAGCTTGGATTCCTTGACTCAAAAGCTTTGAGCATAAGCTCCTTTTAAATGATGGCTATGCTGTCTTCTATCTACGCACGTTGCATATTTGAGTGAAAGGAAACTTTCTCAAACATTTGAAGCAAGTGCAGCGCGCTCTTAAACAAACCGTAATTGATTGCACCACACGGTTCTGTGTGAAAACTAAGAGATCAGAAGAGTTTTGTTTCTTCTGTTTTTTTTTCTAGTAGTGAGCCGCGTGACTCGAGCCCCCAACTCAAGCGCACATCTCTAGCTTAGAGGATGTTCAAAAAAAAAAAAAGAGTATGTGAGAGAGCGCAAGAGAGAGAGAGCGCAGCAGGCAACACACCGACGCAGCGCTGCTTGCAGCTGTTTCTTATTTACTATGGTTTCGCTTTTGTGCCTGCCTTTCGCGTGTATTGAACCTCCCTTATAATTTCCTCAACGCAGTTGTTGTTGCTGCTGCCTGATCGTTGTGCACCTTGATCGCTGCCTGTTGTTGTTGTTGTAGTTGTTGTTGTTGCTGACGGCGGCTGTTCTAGGCCAGGTTTGTTAGCCGCCTGCATTTTGACCAAGCTGCTGTTGCTCTTTTGCGCTGCGAAGACGCCGCTAACTGTCTTGCGGCACTTTTGGCCAAAGTTCAGTAAAGTTCAAAACACTTTTTTATTAGGCATCACGGGGCGATATAAGGTCTGTTGGCTGCCGAGAGTTGAGTGTTAATACGCGAATTTCTGAACTTGGGAGAGTTCATCTGGGGAAAGTAGGGTTTGCAACGTGTCGAGAAAACTTAGATCATGCGAGTTCCTCCACAATTGAGAATTACTTTCTATTCACATTTTTACTCTAATATGTTATTATCAATCTTATTTTTGGCCAGATAAGGTTTCTGACCAAGTCAACTGAGAAAATATATACAAGTATTTCACCAGATTTTATATATATAATAAAATCCAGGGGGTTTCTTCGGGGTTTTCGCATTTATGAGTACCTTCATTTGTGAAGTTCCCCCCTTGAAGTGTTGTAAAAGCGATTATTGAGGAAAATTCGTATCGTACAGCACTCGATTGCCATAAATCAGTTTGATAATGATTTTGATAAACTTAGTTAATAATGATTCACGGGAATGCTTGATGAAATTACAAACCAAATAACATATCTTTTATATATTTGTCTAAGAATAAATGTTGCAAAAATGGGGTACATGAGGCACATGAGATCATCATCAAAATTGGGAATCTTATAGAAGGGCATACAAATTTTCGTTTGGCATTTGCATTAAATGCTGGCTTAAGACAATTTTCTACAGATATTGATTTAAATAGCCATGGCATGGTACGGTTAGAATAACTATAGAACTACGCAAAACCATGTGACATCGGAGTACAATAGAGCCTTGAACCCAAAGGCCATAGAACCGAACGTCGACAATTGTCAAGGCAAAGACAAATGGCAAATACATAGAAGTAGAGGCAGCAGGGGAAGAAGAAGAAGACGAAGTAGAAGTAGAAGGAAGATAAGGAACCTTAAACCAAGCAGCAGATGTTTCCAAATGTTTGTGGGAGAGATCGAACGAGCGAGCGACCCTATAGAGCGCGACTCTAGAGTATATTTCTGCAAATGGGGACACACACACATGTGCCATAAAAATTCTAAAGTTAAAAATAATTTGAATACTGCACGAAAACAGGCGAAAAAGGCAGAATTATCTCCCCCGGGCAGACAGCCAGGCAGAGCGACGGAGCTGCTAGCCATGGGGGCCTACACTTGGCGAAAATCGCTTTAAATTTGAAGAAGTTTAAAATTTCTTAAGATGAGAATTCACTTTTAAGTAAAGACTTTTACTGTTGTTTCCGGCAGGACAAAAAACAAAACTCCAAATACTTAAAATGCGACACTTAACGGCCTCATTTCAAATATGAAAATGATTAAAATAAGTAAACTTTTACTTAGAATAAGAATTCGGTTTTTAGAAGTGAAACCTCAGTAAAATTTAAGCTTACTTTAAGCAGAACTTCGACAAATTGTTTTTTTTTCGTATATTTCTGACATGCCTAAAAACAAGACTTTAAATACTTAAATTAAGCAAATTCTTAAAATAAGTAAACTTGTTTTTTAAGTCTAGTTGTTATTCTTTTTGCTCTTAGTTTCTTCAGTTTCTAGAAATATAATTTTTAGCTACTTGGAAAAAGTTTTAAAGTAAAACGAGCTCAACTTCAGCTTAATTAAGCTGGAACTTCAAGCAGCTGCATTTCGCTGAGTGTATTGAAGAATGAAAAAAAAAAAATATACTTTGCGCATATGATTTAATATATAAATATAAAGTAGGGAGGCGTCTTATCAAAGACAGACAACTGGCGCACGTCCGCCACGTGTTTGCCAAGCCGAACAAACGCTTCGGAAACCCAATTCTTCGCTATGCAGACGAGGGGAAAACAGAGTGGAAGAGGTAAAATTTACACCTGGTTTTGGCCAGCAAACAAACAAAACAAGAGACTGTAAAAACCCTTTCAAAATGCGAAATGCAGCCACAGATGCGACTGATCTACACGTATTTGTTGGGGGTAGGTTTTGCAAATTTAGCATTGGTCTCCTTTGTGGTTCCTGTTTCGCCAGCATGTCCTTTTTATTTCATATTATTTTTGGTATTATTTGTATTTTGTCCAGGCTCAGCGACAGCAGCTGTATTTCCTTGCATTTAGGACGCGGTACGCGCGCCTGCTGCTGCCAGCCAGGATGCTGAATATGCATTTCCACTTTAATATCAAAAATTTAAATGCTTTTCTGTCCGGTCTGTGTGTCCGTTTTGGCCGTCGCCTCTGTTGATCCTTTGCCGATCTGGCAAATTGCATCTGCTGTCAACGTATGTAAAGGCATCCACCAGACATCGGTCTGGCCATCAAAGCAATTATTATCCTTCATCAAGAGTGCTCGCAGTTCGGACAACAGTTGTCCACATACTTTATATAAAAAGTAAAAAGTACAACAAAAAATTGAAAAGAAAGAAAACCACAAGATCACGCGTCCTGTGGTCAGCGTTTCTTAAAGCATATGTCCTTAAAGTAAAGTAAAAAGCTGCAGCTAGACAGAGCTTAAAAGCTTGCAATGGCTGTACTCTTAATACTTTAAAGCTTGTTTAGTCGACTTGAATCTGGATCGAACCTAATGAATTGAACCGTTCGATTAGAGCTTTTTAAAATGGTTCGATTCACACCTCGAGCTTTCTCCGACTAAACAAATTTTGTTTCTTAATCAGAGCTTAAAAGCTGTAAACTGTTATTTGGTCTATCCCACACCCTTATGCGGACTGAGCTTTAAAGCTTTGAAAGATCAAAACGCATGCATTCAGTTAGAGTTTCGGCTCGGCTCAAAAGCTTTAAGACATCTTCTTTTAATAAATATTTTATTGATTGATTATATTATAAAAACCACGAAAAATATATTTTTTCTAAAAAATTAATTGACTAGATCTATTTCAAATAAATAACTTTGTTTAATCACATCAACAATATTTTTATCTTAAACTTTGTAGTTGCTTTCATTATTTCAGATATCAAAGTAAATGATAAATTAATAATGAAGTGTCTAAGTATATCTTCATATGATATATTACATCAATAACTCGATATAATTTCTAATCACAATTTCGCTATTATTTTTCAATTTCAGCATAATCAGGTAAATGTAAATGGCTCAACCTTGACAGACAAGTTTAAACTCGAGCGTGAAATAGATAAAAAAAAAACAAAAAAATGTTAACCAAGTTCTTGATTAAATTGTCGCCTATGACAATATAAGGACGGAAAAGTAGTTCGTTTTTAATTGAATATATTACGAAAAAGGGTTCAAGTGGTTTTTAGATAAGTTAAAGGTAATTTTTTTTTACATAAAACTAAATGCTGAAATGAGTATAGGAAATATATGAATATATTATCAGAAGCTAAACGAGTTTTGTTATTGATTTCCAATAAACACTTTTCGCATATGGCTAAAAGGCAAGAGAGAAGCGTGCGGAGAAGTCAAATTTAGATTCCAGCAATTTAAATATTTGATATTCTTATCGCAAACACCTGGATAACGTTTCGGCAGAGCAGCTGAAACCGGCTATAGAAAAACTCATTCGAATATCTTTGGACTCGGATCAATAAAATGAGCTCAGAGCCCAGAGACGAAAAGTGTAACAAATATCCAAAGGAAAATGTTGCCCAAAGCATGTTTAATTAGAAAACGACATATGCAAAGGATCCCGAGGATCACATATGAGGGAGAGCGAGAGAGTCTACAACAACAGTTGTGTGCATTGTACATAAATATAGAAAACTAATCCTGGCTGAAGACAAGGAAATGAAAAAGAAAGAAAGAAAATTACGCAAGCACTTGAGATCGACAGCAGCAGGCATTACTCCATGCACAGTAAAAAATTATTGATTACTTTTCAAATCATTTTCTTGGACTAAAGGAATGTGTATTGAATGCAGTCCTGGTTAGTCTTAAAGTGTCAGCAAATTAACTAAGAAAATTTAAATACAATTGCTGATTAACTCTGCAATATGATATGTTATCGTACATATATATAGAATGCCCTTTCGCCGATCTATTCATGCTCTAAGCACGACGGGAACTAAACTTGAGAGCTGCTAATTTAAGGCTGTTCAGGAAATGACAGATATCTCCGCCAATTTTGTTATACGTTATTGAAAGTAATCAAAATATAAGAAATTTCTTTACTAATTTTGAAAATAGATGAAGATCGTAAAGTCGAAATATTAACCAACATTTTTTTTTTCTTTTTTCTTTTTGTAAGCAAGTCCAAATTGTTTACAGTGTACACATGTGTATATTTGATGTATAGGAAACAGTCTATATATATAGAGACGAACCTCTCGGGTGCCGCATACCTGCGGCTGGGACAGCGGCAGTTGTGCAGCACGGCGAGACGGGACGTGGGCGAGGGTGAAACTGATCAAAATCTAGCGTTTTTTTTTTTGGGTTTGCACGCCGTCACTTCCTTTGGCAGTCGCATCCGCATACGCTAATCAAATATCAGGGACGCGACGCCTGCGCGTTGCCCCGAAAAATACCCGCCAAAAATCAACATATGTGGAGAGCGGGAATAAACGGGAAATGTATCTTATGGATGCAGCCTTGTGCAGTCCGTTAGAAGCTGTTTGCGGAAAGTTTAAATATTGGGAAAACTCGCGCATTTAGCGAGTCACATAGACCGATGCGTAGCTGTTCTCACCCATTGTCTGGGCCTTTGTTTCGCTCATGGTCAAAATGTTGTGTGTTTTTTTCTACCTGGCCCGTGTGCTGGCAAATGTGTGCGCTGCATTTTCACTTATTGGGTTTTCCATTATCCTTCGTTGTCCTTTCCTTACCTTTGCAAGAAATCATGGCCATAAACTCTATAATTTATTGTCTACCAGCTGCATAGAAATCATCATTGAAATCGGGTATATATATATACACTGATTTGCTGTGTGGTAGAACGGACAGGACAGGTAACTGGACGGGCACCTGTAGCCCGCAGTACTTGCATTACGTCAAAGTTCGCGCCCATCTATTGATTGAAATCCCGGTGCCTAAACTGTTTTTATAGCCGCGTGAGAGTTTCTCTCACTCCTTGGCGTCGAGCACTTCACAATTTTTGACTTTCTTCAGCTCTAAGCTGCTTAAGGATTTGATATCCCTATTGCATAGAGACATGTTACCCTTGGCCAAGGCATAAATGGGGTACTCGTACGCATTGTACAGGTGTTTTGTGAGCGCTTTGTTAGGTAAAATGCTGTCTATGTCGATAAAGAACATACATAAGTACCCAATTTAATTCAGATCATTTCTAAGCGTTATAGCTATTATAAAGCAAGTCCTTTTTTAAGGATATTCCATGGTTTGCTCTAGTTTCTTTAAAAGGTAAGGTAAGCACATTTAAAATCGTCATTAATTTAGGTTAAGGTATTAACCAAGCCCTTCTCAGGGCGTATTTGATGAAGCCATGGTCCTTTGTCTAAGTTTTCCAAGTGCCTTTAACGAAGTATTACATACATACTTTTACTTTATTTCTGCTTATTTATTATACCTTTTTATAATCTTTTTTGATACTATTTAAAGAAAATCAAAAGTTGGACAAGAAGGAAAGAAACGAATTGTGAAAAAAAATTTCCAAACGAGGAAACGCATCGATCTTGTCTAAGATAATATATCGTAGGAGAAAGAACATATAAAGGGTATTAAAGCGTCGGCACCTTAAAGCCAACTGGTCTAAATTGTATAGCACAAAGAATTCCATGGCATTTACTTAAATTAGTACACAGCCTTTCAGCAAAATATGATAGATCCTTAGAGCACAAGAGTCTGCAGTTTGTCATTAGCGCTGCCACCTTTTTCAATTATTTTTAAATTTTAACGCCTTTCGAACGAGTAGTTTTGAAAACTATCGCGAGCCCTCGTAGTGTCATCGCTAAGGCAAACAGCTGTTTCTGCACGCGTGCATGGGGCGAGGGAAGGTCACAAACCCCATTGGAATGCGGCAGGCAACTTTTAACTATTGCCAATTGTGACATAGAGTATCTAGCGAATACATTATAGGAATTTTACCATTCTTCGCAAACCTGCAAACTTAGCAGCCTACATTCAGTTTACATGTTGAAAAACAGGCATAGCTCATAACTCACTGTGGGCCCAGTATTAATAATGCACTATACAAACACGTTAGAAATTTATTTGACTTACCGATTTTACCTGCCGACTGACCCATGCTTACTGCATTTAATGCAGCTTACTCATTAGTAGCTAATGATTAGATTATTTTGGTATAAATTTCCTTGAAGCTTTCACTAACATTCCAAATTTTGCACGCACTTAGATTGCCGTACGCATATTAAGAAAGTATACCGTATACTGAGGCGTTCTGTTACATATTATATGCATGCAATGCAAAACAATTAGTTGATTGGTTTTTTATTTTTAGTGGCCACATTTTTATTTTATTTTGGTTGGCTGCCGGCAGGCCAATTCGATATAACTCATATGGCCAGTTCACAATAGTTGAATTGCTTATCGATTGGAGCAGCCGATTGCAGTGTGGCAACGCTGAAGCGTTTGGGTATCGAGTAGTTGTGTCGTCTGACAGCTTGATGGTTGAAGAAGAAGCAGCAGCAAACCATAATACGCGATGTGAGAAATGAAAAATATGCTAAAATAAAAGCAAATTGCAATTGTGTTACCATAGTATTTAAGTGTTTGCCAGTTGCCTAATAAATTGTTACAATAACAGAGAGCGGCAACACGACAAGGACGACAACTCGTGGAGCGTAAACCGAAGGCAGCGCAAAAATGGCGGATCCACTGAGTCTCTTGCGGCAATACAACATAAACAAAAAGGAAATAATCGAGCGTGATAATCAAATTATATTTGGTGAATTCTCCTGGCCTAAAAGTGTCAAGACCAACTATCTCAAATATGGGTAACTAGCTGGCCAAGCCACGTCTTAAAAGTGCCTCTTCGTTTTTTTTGACAACGTAATTTGTTTTTGCAGCTCTGGTAAAAAGGGCGCTCCACGTGAATATTATACGCTGGAGTGCCTGCTGTACTTGCTCAAGAATGTTATGCTCCAGCATTCGGTGTATGTGCGTCAGTGCGCGGCGGAGGACATACCCGCCGTAAATCGACCCGATCGTAAGGAGCTGCTCGCCTACCTCAATGGGGAGACGCCCACATGTGCCAGCATCGACAAGAGCGCGCCGCTGGAGATACCCACACAAGTGAAGCGTACAGCGGATGGGGATGCGGCCACAAGCGGCGAGACGGCCGCCAAGAAGTCACGCTTCGAGGAGACGCAAGTGCAGAAGGTACGCGAACAGCTTGCGGCGCGCTGGGATGTCAATCAAAAGGAAACTGCCGTCAATATGGACAACATTAAGTCGCTGTCGGAGACGATGTCCGTGGAGAAGATTGCAGCCATCAAGGCGAAACGTTTGGCCAACAAACGTACCACAATTAAGCGCACGGATAATGAAGAGGCCATGGGCACAGATCTACGAGCCATACTCGACTACGATGTGGACTCCACAAAGGATATCATTAGCCGCGAACGACAATGGCGCACACGCACCTCAGTGCTTCAGAGCACGGGCAAACTTTTTGCCAAGAACATTTTCGCCATGCTGCAGGGTATTAAGGCACGCGAGGAGGGACGCAATCGTCCCCAGGTGCCAAATCCCATTAAGATGCCCGAGCCGGCGCGCATTACGAAGCCACAGCCACAGCTCTCTCAATACAATCGTTACGATCAGGAGCGTTTCAATCGCCAAAAGGAGGAGACCGAAGGCTTCAAAATCGACACGTTGGGTACATATCACGGCATGTCGCTTAAGTCCGTGACGGAGGGCTCTCTGGCGCAGCGCAAGGCGCAGGCAAACATGCCACATGGCGCAGCGGCTGCGACGCCCACAGCTGTCTCCCGTGCAGCGCCCAAGGAGCTGCTGCCCACGGCACAGGCGCGACAGCTGCCCGCTAATGGGCCTCAAAAGAGGCCATCGCGCACGCCTATAATTATAATACCGTCTGCCAACACGAGCCTTATAACTATGCTGAATGTTAAGGATATACTGCAGGATTTACGCTTCATGTCCACGTCGGACAAGAAGCTACAGGGCTGTCAGCGCGAAAGCGAGGTGCTGCTGCAGGTGAGCTGCCACTTAACACAATTCTTAATTAATAATTTTAATCCCGACTTTCCTTCTAGCGCAAACGCAATAATCAGACCGTCTCGTATCGCGTTGTTGACAATCCCATCAAGCTCAGCCAACAGGATTGGCAGCGCGTTGTCGCTGTATTCGTCATGGGACCACAATGGCAATTCAAAGGCTGGCCCTGGGATGGGAATCCTGTTGAAATTTTCTCAAAAAGTATGTTCACAAAAAGGGCTATAGATATAACTACCTTGTAATCTGGTCGAAGGAGACAGCTCCTGTAGACATGAAACGTGGGTTAAGCCCGTTTTCAGTACAAGACAGAAAATATTTTCGCATTCGGATAGTTTCCATAGAAACAATCAATACCTGTCTTTATGAAACGCAGAAATCAGTAGCTAGGCATATATATATAGTTTTTTATATGTTATTTTCTATATACTTAATTTGTTGCTCTTCTCTTTCAGTTTGCGCCTTTCATTTATGCTTCAGCGAGCTGAAATTGGATGCGAATGTGGAGCGTTGGTCTGTGACGCTGTTGCGTCTATCCCAAAACAAAAGGCATTTGGATCGCGCCGTGCTCAGCAAATTTTGGGAGACGCTAGACAAGTATATACTCATTAACATTCAAGAAATTTTTGTTAGTTACTTAATGCTCTCCTCTCTTGCAGATACATGCTTAAGTACAAGCCAGATTTACGGTTTTAGATACTGGGACGTTAACGTTGAGCGCGCATTACACTAAACAACGAAACAAAGAAATAAAGAAAAATTGGAAAAACATGCCAATGCTTATGACCCAGAAAGTTAACACTTTTACTACCCACTTTGTTGTAGGCAGCGGGCGGTTCTAATTATGCTAAAAGTTTGTTCAACTTGTACAATGTAATCTATGAAACTGAGCTAAGAAACAATATATAATTTGTATAATTAGTTTTAATAAAAATATATAAGACGAATCATTATTTTTTTTTAAGAAATATAAATATTAATTATGTACAGCGACGTTTCATGGCCCTAATGTTAATTATCTGTTAACTGTGTTAACATGCAAGCTATTGACAGAACGGTAATAACAGTAGGAATTACTGTACTAATAATTATAACAGGGCAACTTAGAACTCTAAGCTCTAAGAACTGGGTGGCATCCTTATGGCCATTAGTAGCCATACTAACAGAAGACATATTTGTAGTTGTTAACACGGGCGTCTATACGGATGGAAATAAACAGAACATTGAGTAAAAATAATACAAATAACGTCGAAGAGTGTCTCAAGAAATCGGGTGCGAAGACGGAAGACGGGCCTTATAATAACTGTTCAACAAAATATGACATTCTTGATGCTGACTTTACAGCCTTGCATACCCGTTAAGGGTAACAGAATAACATACTTAAGCTGTTAAATGTAATATAAAAGAACGATTTGTACCTGCCCAATAGATAAACACCTCAGATACTTACTAATACGTGATGGTGTCGTAACAGCTTTTTAACAGTACAATCATAGCTGAATGTAACAAATGTCAATCACAATGCGAACAAGCGTTATATTAGATCATCTTTACAGCTGTTAAGCATTTGTTCTTCCTAAAAACATTTAATCTGTTAAATATTACAGAAGTTCTTTTTCGCTGTTAAAATTAACAGCAAGCCATACTTTGGCTTCGCGCAATTTATAACATTCATAAGCTTTATTAATCGAAAGCTATTCTTATTTTCAAAGCTTGAGCATAGGACTTAAAACATATAATTAACATTTTAAAGAAAATTGTAAGTAACAGCGCGCCATACAAGCTTAAAATTTAAACATGCGACAAAATTCAAATTCCAGCAAAAAATTGAATTATTCAGAATTTAAAACAATAACAATTTGAATAATGTATCACATATCGAAGAGAATTTATTATATATTTATAGAAAAAAACATTAACTCGTATAAAACCAGCTCAAAAGGAAAACTGAAGCGATTAATATAGTATTACCACAAGGATAAAGCTAGCGTAAGGTGTAAGACTAAACCGCGCCCATTTGTAGAATGGGTGTAAAGAGTTTATAGGCCTTTTTGATGTACTCGATAGCGGAATACATTTCGCCAAAATAGGTGTTGACTCTCGCTTTGCACTCTTCCTGGTCCACAGCGCCTGATCCGTCGCTTTTGCTGCTCAGCACAGCCGCATAGCGTTGGCTTAGACCCTGGAGATGTCCATTGAATTGCTTGCACAGATGCACAATGCCGTCCACCTCGTTGGCGGTGCTGTGGTGCGACTTTACCAGCATCAGCTCAGCGATTTTGTGCAGCTTGCACATTTCCAGGGCGCAGGCTTCACTGAGCGCGTTGATGCTCTTCGCATAGGCCTGTTCCAGATCTGCCGAGGTGGCCTCCTCGGAGCTTAGCCAGCTGAGAGACTGCGTCCAATGACTGCAATGTGAGAGTGTGTTAATAAAATTTACATGTGATGATGGATGGAAAATTGAGATTCGGGTGGTTCTGACTAATAAGGCAGCCTTAATTCCGATTGATCCTGCTCACCTGGCCACATCATCAAATTTAATGCCCAGCTCCGCATCAGTAATGGTGGCCAGCAAACGCTCGTTGAGCTCTGAGCCTGTGTAGTCGCCCTCGCTGTTGGATTCCACATCCTCCAGCTCCAGCAGCTCCTGAACCTGCCCAATGGTTTCCTGCATGCGCAAATATCGTATGATTATTACTATTATTATTATTATTAATAAAAATAAGTTGTGTTTATTTGCCTGCAGTTCAGTTAGAGCATGTCCGCTGACCGCGTCCAGCAGCGTTTCCAGCTTGAGGCGCGACTCCTTGGACAGTATTTCCAGCGCTTCGTAGTGCACCAGGCCGCAGTAGTTCTCGAAGAGCACATCGAAGCGAAGTTGCGCCTTTCGTTTCTCGAGCTGCAGCTGCTGCAGCGATTCCTCCATTTGATCCGCATCCTTTTTGGCTTCGAGCAGCACAGCGCTCAGGTTGGGCTTGTTCGCATCGAGTCCCAGTAATTTGCGTTTGTTCATTAATTTGGGATCGTTTTCCTGCAGTATGTTCATGGTCTTCTTGCCAATCCCCTCTAGCGTATCCAGACCCGTGTTGAGCACCTTGGAGCCCAGCGTTGTCACAATGCCCAGATTAAATGCTGGGGCGCCGCCAGCTTCGGGCTTTTCTATAGCTGCAGCAGCTTCTGTTGTCGTCTGTTGCTCTGTGCGTGTGGGCCTGGCCGGCCCCTCGGCTGCATTGATTCGCGCCAGTTCCTCGGGATCGGGCACGCCTATTATCTGATTTAGTCCTTGATTCACCTGGGTTGTTATGTTGCCCAGACCCTCCGTGGCGGTGCTCAGCACAGAGCTCAACTTGCCGCCCCATAAGCCCCAGCCAGAGGAGGAGGCTGATGCAGGCGGTGCTGCTGGTGACTCTGCTGAAGCTTTGCCCATGGCGTTTGATTGCTCTTCTGCAGCTTTGTTGTTTTGCGGCTGCAGCTCCTTTTCTACGTGCACAAATTTGTCATCATCGTCGCCATCATCGCCATCGCCCCAATCGTCCCAGTTGTCGTCCTCATCGCTCTGATTCCAATCATTTAAGTTCTCATCCTCTTTGTTTGGTTTATTTGCCATTATTCCGTGCGTTTACCACGTAGTTTCATGAATCTCTGACAATTATCGATAGCTGGCAATCTATCGATAATTTAATACCACTGTTGCATGTGTGCCTAAAAAACGAACCTGTTAGTTAGCAGAGGTATTTTCAGTGTAACTTTGGCGCGAACTTTTTGTAATTTTAGATGTGCTTATTATGTTTTCTAAAGCTAAGAAAAACTAACTCCAACTTAAAAAATATAATGGCACTGACTCGTTCAAGCCCACTGACTGAGGGCTTTCGACAATATCGGGAATTATGTATGTCTTACGATAGAGTTAAAATACTTGTTTTAATTCTAAATGTGAGCTAAACTAACTTGTGTTGAATAAATTATTAAATACATGTGTAAACTACATGTGTGGCGTACATATGTACATATGTAATTCGTACGAATTAATCGATATGCGTGGATCTCTAGTTTGCAGATTTGACTTCCACTGTTAGTTAACAGTGAAGTTATCGCTTTTACATTGGCGCGAATAACTCATGTGATAATAATTGTGTTTAATTAAAAATGTGTTTAAAATTGTGTTAACCAACTACCGCTTATCATAGACTATCATTATAATTGTTATTAAGAACATAAAAACAACAAAAGACGAAATACAGTTACAGTTAAATTAAGCACATGGTTTCACTGCTAAAAAGTGGAAAGGGGAATAAAGAACGGTAAGTGTAAAAAGAAAACTGACCAAGCCCGCTGTGCGCACAGACATAAAGCCTCAAATTGTGTAGTCAGCCTACAGCAACAACAACAATAACAACAGGCAACTGTTGCTCTTATTAGAAATACATAAATTATTGGAGCACCTCGTGTCACCCGTGTGCGTTGGAATGCCCCTGTGGAGCTGCCACATCCATGCCTTGGCATTCACGCACACGCACGCAAACTATTTTCTACTCAATGCATACAAATTGAATTGATATTAGTTTGTAAAATATTTAGGCATTAAAATAGCAAACAGCTGCGTGTGTGTGTGTGCGTGTGTTGATGTTTGCATTGGTATTGTGCTGTCCCAGTTACCTTTGGTGTCTTTTTCTGTAAAACTGTTATCTTGCAAATCTTTCGTTTTGCCTGTGTGCTAGTGCGAAAGAGATGGCCGATGTATTTCTATTTATTTGTACTGCCAAAGAATGCAAACAGTTTTTTTTTGCAGTTTTGTTTTGTTCTGTGGTTTTTCATTAGATTTACAGAGTTGCTTTGGCAATATTATATACACAGTTGGGCAAATTTAAGAGAAATTGTAAGACAAAAACATGGACATACGTATGTACTGTGAACGCTTGCAGAAAAGTTAGATTACACAAAACATTTATATACATATATATCTCGGTTATCATTTTGCTTAGAAGGTATGTATGTTAGGAATAATAACATAGATATAATAAACATTACCTAATTCTAACACAGTTGCCAAGTATAATTCTGGTGAATTAAAATGAATGAAACTTTTTAAACAACATTTTAAATTGTTGGTTGTTAGCTTAGAGTTGAGTGATCGTTAACTTTTTCTGTTGGAAAATTTGTCGGGAAAAGTTTTCGCATGAAAAATATGATTTACATCAAATCAAAAAAGTAAGGCAAGGCAGCTTGCCGGTATTCATGTCTGTTAACAGAAACTGTTAAGCACTGCAGATGCACACGTGTTACAACGTGTTAACAGAATCCGAAGTTCTCTTCGATCTGTAAGTTCTCTTAAACTTAACTACTGTTGCTCTTGATTTTGCACTTGCTTTTGATCTAAATGTTAATTGTATGCGAGTTGATTAAGTTTTCAAATTTTGAGTAAATATACGCTCTTAATTTTTTATAAGCACTTCAAAGCGAATGCCCTTCGATTGCTTTTAAGCCCACACAAAAACAACGCTCGTTCAAGTTTTAACTGTGCCTGCACAGTGTGCCACATATCTAATTGTGCTCATAAATTAGAAACGAACACAAACAAAATTCGGTTGTCAGCTGAAAGTTTGCTCGGTGCTAACCAGCATATAAATTTGACAGGAACGCAAAATTAACAAACCAAGACAATTTACCTGGCACACACAAACGCACACACAACTTGCCATAAGCGAAGAATTTTCATAAACTTGCTGCATACTTTTTGGCAACACACACACACATACACAAACAGACACATGTATGGGAGGAGGGAGCGAGACAACCACACGCTATATTTCGTCACGGAGGCTGCCATAAAATGCGCACAACCAAAATTTATCTTCGAGACTAGAAAATAAAAGCAACAAAACGCAACTAGTCGCACATTTGTTGTTGCCTGCT